TTTTTCCACACTTTTAGGTGTATTTTGTGCAAGAAATTGCAATAAAATAGTCTGCCTAAGATAAATTGAATTTTTTTGTAAATTTTTGTATTATCGGGTTTGAATAAAGGGTGGTATTTAATCGATTAAGGTCTTTCTCTAGTTGTTTCGGGATGTTAATTTCTTTCTACACTTTTAGTTTTATTTTGTGCTAAAATTTGCAATTAAGTTGTGGGTGTAATAAAATTTTGATTGTTTTAGAAAATGTCATGGTAGGGGATTTGACTAGGGGTTTTTTTCTAATTGAATTGGGGTTGAACTTATTTTTTTTTTACGCTTAATGTTTTTTTGAAGTTTTTTGTAAGTTTTTGTTGTGTTTATGCAATATGTTGGCTTTAAAATGTTCGATGATCGTAATGTATTTGAACTTCACCGACCTCGAAAACCTTAAGATACCAAGTTCCATGAAAATCCATTAAATTTTTTTTTTCAAACACTTTTGACCCAAATAGTGGAAATCGTTTCTACTGCCAAGGGTTCAGTTAGTTACCTTTCTAACGAAATGGTTAGGGTGACTAACTAAATGGCAACAGTAACTAATATAAATTAGCAAAAATCCCCTTAAACGAAATTTTTATCTCAACCAATCGTTTCTCTCAGTGTATTGATGTACAGTTTATAATTTTTATAATTTACTATTGTTGATTGATTTTTATGCTGTTACAAACATTATCCTTATTATTTTATTAATTTTTTTGTTATATTTTTTCCCTAATTTTTCAAAACAAGGAAAATAGCGTAATTCATGGATAATAATAAGGAAATAAACGAAATTTTTCGAACAGATAAAATCAAAAATAATAATTTTATTTTTTTTAAATATTTTATTCAGATCTTGACAAATATTGAAAAAATGATAATAATAAGAAATAATGGTATTTAAAGTGTGAAAACTACTGTTCTGTATCATTTCTGATATTGTAATAGTAGTGAAACTTTTCATTTACAACTATATCTTATTTTAAGTTACGTAAAAAGTTAAATTTTTTTGTTCGAAAATGAACAGTTTTTGTAAACTTTGTGCTTTTTTAGCATTGTTTGCACAACTTTCACTGGCGTAAGTTCTTACTTAAAAGAAGAAATAAGAAATTTCGCTGTCATAATCAGATCTATATAACTTTCCCCACAGCACCGAAACTTTCCTAAAGATTTCTTAAAGATTTATTTGAAATGTTCCGTGCTGTGGGGGTTTAACATTAATTAATGGCCTTAAATTACAGAATAGCATTTTTTTTAGAGAGTTTTTCATATATACTCTTTAATGCAAAAATATAGTTTTTTCAAAAAAAAAACATTTTAACTCATTTTTTTTAAATTACACCTTTATTTACATTTTCTCACAAACCCATTGTTTTCCCAATTTTTATATTTACGAAAAAATCTTGACTTTCTAAGAAAAGTAGCTAAAAAAAATATTAATAGGAAAAGGGTTTAAAAATGAGGAAAGGATTAATTTTCAAAAAAAAGTTTTGTTAAAATTTTTTTTATTTAAAGATTAAAATCTTACTTTTAAACCTGTTTGTTTTCTTTGATTTTTTTAATTTTTAAAAAATTTTCTATTATTTTTGACTTTCCTGTTTGTTTTCTTTGATTTTTTTAATTTTTAAAAAATTGTCTATTATTTTTGACTTTCCTGTTTGTTTTCTTTGATTTTTTTAATTTTTAAAAAATTTTCTATTATTTTTGACTTTCTTTTACAAGAATTTTGAAGTTGGGTTCCATTGTAAAAAAAATATTTTTTTCGGAAATTTTAAAAATTTTAAAAATTTTGAATGTTTTTTAGAAAATACCTCTGATTTTTTTTGATATCACATATATATTTATAGAGAAGGGACCTATCTCCGAAATAATATTAGGCTTAGTTTTCATGTACGGTGCACGGAAAACTGAGCCTAATGTTATTGCGGGGATAGGTCCCTTTTCTCGTGGAGCGTCACATATATTTTCATGCGCTCATTAAAAAAATCATAGTAAAAATATCTGCCAAAGTTTTAGATGATGAAAACTATAAAAAACACTAAAAATTAATATTTGATATGAATGTTGTAAATTTCATGGAATCACATTTTTATATGAAATATTTTTGAAAATTTTGCATATTTTATAAAAAAAAACTGTTAATTCTGTGTTTTTATGATTTTCGCCAAGAAAATCAAATTTGCTGATAATTTCAATATGATTTTCCTAATGAGCGCATTAAAATACATAAATATAAGTATAGTATCAAAAAAATTGGAGGTATTTTTGAAAAAATTTAAAATTTTGAATATTTTTTAAAATTCCTTTTAAAAAAAATTAGCAAAAATATAATATTTATAGAAAGAAGAAAAAATTGTTATGTCTATAATACAAAAACAATAACTACAAGAGTGGCAAAAATTTTTTAGAGCACTTAACGACTTTGATATACTGGTATTTGTTCAACAATTTCCAAAAACAACTTGTATTAATTCTCGAGTACCACCAGCTCGATGCAATATACCGCGAAACGATTTGTGGACAATTCATGGAATTTGGCCAACTAAATCTGGAACAAATGGTCCAAACAGTTGCAGGCGCGATTTACCATTCAAACCTGCAGAATTGAGAACCATAAGACGTCAACTTGAAGCTAAATGGATAGATGTCATTAGGACAAATCCAGAAACATTCTGGCGTCACGAATGGGAAAGACATGGAACATGTAGTGTTGATCTTGTTGATCTTAATACACAATTAAAATATTTCAGTAAAGCTCTACAATGGAATAATAGATATAATATTGAAAGTTATTTGAGAAGAGCACGAATTACACCCGGTCGAGCTTATCCCTCAGCGGATATTGTGAGAGCAATTAATCGAGGAGTTGGACTTCAGACAAGAATCACTTGCATTACACAGGTTTAAAAAATTTTAAACTTTTTTTTGACAATCGATCGAAACATTTTTTTTTTCGATAAATGGATGTTTTTGAGTAAGAAAAACATATTTTGAATTTTTTTCCTTCGTGCAGATTTTCTGATTCTGTAAATTATGTATTTTCGAGGTGTGACTTCACTTAAACTTACCTGTAGGAAAATCACCTTTTCCAAATATAATAAGTAATACATCAATAAAAAGGTAATTAAATTACCTTTCGAACCGTCGGTCATACGATAAAATCCAAGGACAATTGATAGACTTATAGTTGACAAAATTTCATGTAAATTTTGATGATTTTTAGACACTTGTCTAATTTCCGCCAAATTTTGTCAATGGAAACAATAGTAAAAGTTTATGTTTAAAATTTTTTACCGATAGTCTATTTAATTACGAAAATTTTGAGCCCAAGTAGAGCACAATCTATCGATAAAAAATTTTAAACATAAACTTTTTCTATTGTTTCCATTAACAAAAATTAGCGAAAGTTAGACAAGTGTCTAAAAATCATCAAAATTTGCATGAAATTTTATCAACTATAAGTCTGTTAATTTACATTAGATTTTATGGTATGACAGACGGTTCGAAAGGTAATTTGATTACCTTTTCATTGATGTATTATTTATTATATTTGGACAAGGTGTTTTTCCTACAGGTTAGTTTAAGTGAAATCACACCTCGAAAATACATAATTTACAGAATCAGAAAATCTGCACGAAGGAAAAAAATTCAAAATAAATGTTTTTCTTACTCAAAAAACACATATTATTTATCGAAAAAAAATGTTTCGTTCGATTGACAATTTCAATGTAAACCGGCGTTACAGACAGGGTAATGATAAACTATATTTTGGGTCGTATGGAATTTCCTACATTAGAACGTGTTGGAATTTTTGTGGTGTCTTATGAGAAATTATCCAATTTTTATTTAGCAGAATTTTATGAAATGGATTTTATACGAAGCTGAAGTACGCAACGTTTATGATAAACGATTTTTAAAGAAATAATTTTTTAAAATGAAAAATTCTATAATTTTTTGCCTAAAAATTTTTTTTTATATTTTGTTGATTAATTAAAAATAGAAAAAATATTTTTTAGGCAAAAAATTATAGAATATTTCATTTTTAAAAAGTATTTTTTTTAAAAATCGTTTATTATTAGCGTGCGTACTTCAGCTGCGTGATAAAATCGACTTTATAAAATTCTACTAAATAAAAATTGGACAATTTTTAATTCGACACCACAAAAATTCTAAAAGGTCTAATGTTGAAAATATACCGTTTAATAAATTATATTTTTTTTAGAATTTTGGCAATTTTTTAGGACAGGAAAGATATATTTAATTTAATAAATATTCTGCTAAATAAGTATAAATTATGTTTTGGGGAAATTTTGTTAAATATTTTTTAAAAATATTTTTCTAAAATCACACTAACAATTTACAAAATATTTAATTTATTACAGGCTAATAAGCAATATTTGCATGAGGTGAGAATTTGCTTCAATAAGAGTTTAAGATTAATCAGTTGTCAAGGACACTTTAATTCTCCAACAAATTGCGTTCCTTGGAGACAAGTTGAATATCCAAGGCGTTAAATTAATTTCCAAATCAAAAGGTCATCCGTTTTCGTTTATATAAATAAAAAATTAGTAACGAATAAAAGAAAAAAAAATTTGTGAAATTTTTTTTTTATCTTTTTTCAATGTTGATAAAAAATAAAATTATAATCATAATTAATAAATATATATGTATTATACAACGAAAACAAAAAATAAAAGTTTGAAATAAATTGACCTGAAAAATTCTAAAAATTTGTACCTAATTTAAATTCTTTTTAAGTGTGTATTATATGTATAATTATTAATTGTAAAAAAAAATATCCTACCGTAGATTCCAATCGCCGATGTCCGATCTCCATTCCGAAGCGGCACTTATCACAAAAAAAAACACTCGCGATTTTAAAAATTTCGGACACTCATGTTAACCGTGAGAAACTACTGATTTAATTTTAAGGGAAGATTTACAAATGATGTCACACATTTTTCAAGATTTTTGACCCCTACCCCCCACCCCTGTCATGCTATTGTACTATCCCTATTGAAAAAAAACACGTATAATTATACGTATAATAATATGTATAATAATATGTATAATAATACGTATAATTATATGTATTATTATATGTATTATTATACGTATAATTATACGTATTATTATACGTATAATTATACGTATAATAAGACATACGAATTTGAAACAAGAATTATACGTATAATTATACGTATAATAATACGTATAATAATACGTATAATTTTTTTTTTTTTTTTTTTCAATAGGGATATATTTTTGTTTATTAATATATACCTAAATATTATAAAATATAGACATGTATAATTATATTTATTATTATATGTATAATTATACGTATAATTATACGTATAATAATACGTATAATTATACGTATAATAATACATATAATAATACATATAATTATACGTATTATTATACGTATTATTATACGTATAATTATAATTCTATTAAAAATAGAATAATAGAATAGAATAATTAGTAGCAAAATTGCGCTGGAAATTTTTAGAAATTTTAAAATGCAAATTAAATTTCACGAAAAAAAATATCGTCGAATGTCAATTCAAGCAGTCACCCATCCAAGTACTAACCGCGTCCAACGTTGCTTAACTTCCGTGATCTGATGAGAACTTGTTCTTTCGCCTTGGTGTTTCCGCTGTCTTGTCTTGATTAATAACTTTGTCGTATAAGTATTGTATCGCACCTCACTTTTAGTGATACTTATACGACAAAGTTATTAATCAAGACAAGACAGCGGAAACACCAAGGCGAAGGAACAAGTTCTCATCAGATCACGGAAGTTAAGCAACGTTGGACGCGGTTAGTACTTGGATGGGTGACTGCTTGAATTGACATTAGACGATATTTTTTTTCGTGAAATTTAATTTGCATTTTAAAATTTCTAAAAATTTTCAGCGCAATTTTGCTACTAATTATTCTATTATTATTCTATTCTATTATTCTATTTTTAATAGAATTATAATTATACGTATAATAATACGTATAATAATACGTATAATTATACGTATTATTATACGTATAATTAATTATACGTATTATTATACGTATAATTATACGTATAATTCTTGTTTCAAATTCGTATGTCTTATTATACGTATAATTATACGTATAATTATGCGTATAATTATACGTATAATTATACGTATAATAATACGTATAATTACACGTATAATAATACGTATTATTATACGTACAATTATACGTGTTTTTTTTCAATAGGGTACTTTCTTATAGAAAAATAATACATTGTGTCACGTTTAGCAAAGCCCCCCCCCCCTTCATCGCAGTGTGTGACATCATTTTTGAACGCTCCCTTATAAACATTACGAACACTCCTGATATTGAAAAATTATTTCAATTTAAAAAATAATTAAAGGAAAAATAATTATTACCCTACATATAAACTCTATTGCGGGTTTAAAAAAACGAGCACTTCCGGATTTGACAAAAACGTGGTCTTCAGAAGCAAGAATGCCCTTTGATGAGAAATGAAGAAAAAACTTTTTACGTACTTTCAGAATCAAATAAATTTACAAAAGTAATAAAGTGTATCTTTATTTTCTTTTACATTTTGATGTCAGCAAAGTATATATATTTTAATTTTTTTATAGGTTATAAAAGGTTACACTTTTGCAATTTTTTTAACACCTCTTCTCTCCACATTATACTTTTCTACAGGGTTGTCATAAAATTTAGACCTATCCTCTCTCTTGAAGTGTGACGTAATAAGTGGATGAAGCTTAAAAAATTAATTTTAATAATTATTTACAAGTTTATTTTTTCATAAATAATTTTAGACTGCCTTGACATTATTAAATACCATTGTCAATTGAAAATGGAAGAAAATACCGTTTAACGGTCTCTGAAATAATTATTGACAAAGAGAGACTATCGCCCTATAAAAACGGCATTGAACGTGAAAATGATAAAACATTGATTTTAAAATATTTTTTTCTCGAAACAAGGACAGTTTTTAGAAAATCGGCCAACGTACCAAGAATTCTTGTTTTATAAATTTTCAAAATCAAAAAGATTATGCGAATTCATACAAAAATGCGATTGCAAAATGAAAAATAGGAAAGTAATGTAATTACAGTTTGGAGGTTAATTACGTCCAATTGACGTCAGATGGCAGAAACATGCAGGGAGACTGAAGTTACTTTTCTATTTCCAATTTTCCTATAGCGTTTTATCACGAATTTGCACAATTTCTCGGATTTTGGAAATTTATAAAACAAGGACTCTTGGTACGTTGAACGATTTTTTAAAAAGTGTTAGTTCTTTGAGAAAACAGTATTTTAAAAATCAATGTTTATCATTTTCACGTTCAGGGCCGTTTTTCACAGATCGTCAAAGACAATATTTATTGCTATCAGTTTCAATGTTCGTATAATTCAAATAAACAAAAATTACAAAATCCAGACGATATTTACATCGAGATTGTCAAATACAATGAAAAAAAGAAATAAATGCAAATCTTGTGCATATCGTTTAAAGAAAAAATATAATTGCAACTGGTGGCCAACAGTTGTCAAAATACGGATATCTATGAAATTTCAATAACCTGAGCTGCAAATAATTCAAAATTCGTCGGTTAGATGCAGAAACGTGCCACTTCAGAATAGTCTTGAAAAACGAGTCATTTCAAAAAACATTTGAGAAACCTGCCATTCCAGCTGAGATTTGGAAAACATGCCAATTCAGAATTGACGTTCGTTTTTTTTTTTTCTTTAAGTTGGCAGTATTGAATGGTTATAAATTTTTACAAAAGATTTTTTCATTACTATTTTTAATAATTATTTTATTTATTTCTTTGTTTTATTTATTTTAATTGTATTATAATTAATTAACTTTTTTCTATTATAATTATTCTTTATTAATTTTATTATAGTTATTGTGCGATTCCAAGTGAGATTTTGACTTTTTCGGAGTAGGTTAACCGATTGCAATGAAACTTTGGAATTTTGTTTTATATAGTAAGACTAATCTTTAACGTAAATTTCAACCTAAAATATTTGTTAGTTTACGAGATTTGCAATAACAAAAAATTTAAAACTGCTATATCTTCCGTTCTAATAAACGGATTGAGGTCTACTTTTTTTTTAAATGTCAAGGAAAATGAGAGGAATAAATCTCTTTCAGAACATTTTTTTATAATTTTACAACTAAAAAAATTATTAAATAATAATTGAATAACTTTCGCGCGACTAACTAAAATTCAATCACTTAAACGCTAAAATGATCTTACCTGTGTTTTCTTTAATGTTCCAAAGGATTTTTATTGTAAATGTAAGTTTAACTTAAGAAATTTTATTAATTTATTAGTATAAACAATTGAGATTTCTGCTAGTTGACGTGCAGACGACATTGCGCACGCAGCATTCTCACATAACCAACTGACGTGATTCGTGGACCTACTCCGAAAAAGTCAAAATCTCACTTGGAATCGCACTATTACTTTTTTTTTGAATATATAATATTTTTAAACATTTTGAATTACGGATTATTTAATTAGATTATTTATTATTTTGTAAACACTTCTTAGGACATTTTTTAATTTTATTGAGAGTGTTGGTTATACTTTTAAATTTGTTTAATAAATATGCCATGCCACTAAATCTTTAACCTTTAACTATAAAATTATTCTTGAGATAAATTTCTTTGTATATTTTTGTGATTTTAGAAATTGTTAATCAAATAATGAATAATTAACAAATTTATTTAATAAATTCATTAAAATACTCTTTTTTCAAACAATAATAACAAACATGTAAAATACAACATGAAAAGTCATTTTCGTACAAGTTTATAACCTTTTACTAGTGTCAACCTAATGAAAAAAAACGAACATCAATTCTGAATTGGCATGTTTTCCAAATCTCAGCTGGAATGGCAGGTTTCTCAAATGTTTTATGAAATGACTCGTTTTTCAAGACTGCTCTGAAGTGGCACGTTTCTGCATCCAACCGACGAATTATGATAATTCTTTATTGTCATTTCAGTAAATTAAAAAAAAATATTATTATTATTAATAAAAGAATTATAAGGACGCACTCACACCTTCGCTGCCTGCCTACAGGAGTTGTCATGGCAACGTACAGGAGTGAGAGAGAGAGAAAAATTCAAATTTTAATTTACTATCTCTATTACTCCTACACGTTGCCATGACAACTCCTGCAGGCAGGAAGGCAAGCAAGAGGTGATGCCCTAAGCAATGTTTTTCTTTCTATTGAATAATAATAATATCAATTCTAAATTATTTTACCATAAAATAATAAATAATACTATTTTTTAATAAATTAATTTTTCCATTTTTTGGAAGACGTAAAGGTAAAAGAAAAAATAATCTTTCACTTTTTTAAAATTTTAGACAACGTTTCGGTGGTCTGGTTCGCCACCATCATCAGGTTACTTTAATAAAAAAATATATTCAAATAAATACAACACAAATTTAAAATAAAAATTATAACATTAAAGAAAAAAATAAATTTTTACCTAATTAAAATCAATAAATAAACATCACAAAAATTTATTTTTTGTTAAATGTTATAATTTTGATTTTAAATTTATGTTGTATTTATTTAAATATATTTTTTTATTAAAGTGACCTGATGATGTGGTAGCGAACCAGACCACCGAAACGTTGTCTAAAATTTTAAAAAAGTGAAAAATTGTTTTTTCTTTTACCTTTACGTCTTGAAAAAAATCGAAAAATTAATTTATTAAATAATTATGGAAGAATAAATTAAATATTAATACTATTTTTTTATAAATAAATCTAATAATTGGATGGGATTTATAAAATAAAACAAACAATTACATAATACTGATTAATACATTTGGTTCTGGAATACATTTACTACACAAATAAAAATGTATATCATAAATACGTGTATATTGAGTATTATAAAAATTCACGAAAAATAATTTCATTATTATAGCCAATCTAACAAGAAAGGAAATCATCAAAAAAAAAAAAGAAAAATACAATTTTTAATACACACAAATCTCACATTAATACAATTTTGTATTATTTGCGACATTCATAATATTATTTGCAAAAAATTTATAATAATTTAAAATAATAATTATTAATTAATTATTATTATATTAATAATAATACTAATTAATTATCATTACCATTCAGTTTATCAATTAACGACCAATATTAACTTTTAAATAATATTAATAATAACAAAAAAAAAAAATTATAATTCTTCATTCAATATTTCAATTTGAAAATTAATTCGTAAAACTGCGAAAAATGAATGTTTTTAAAAAAATAAATTATAATTAAAATATTATAAACTACAGGACAAATAGATTATTATTTATTATTAATTAATAATAAGTTATAAATTAAAGGTAACTTATAATTGAATTAATTAATGTAACTATGTGTAAATAGTAATTAATATTTAATAATATATAATAATCTTGAAGAAAAAATCTTCTACACTAGATTTTATCAAATATATAATATTAAATATAATAATTTTAATATATCATTAGAATTCATTTTTCACAGTCATTGTCATTTTTGTATATATCCGAAAAATTCTTCATCATGAGAGTTTTTACAGTTTTCTAGAATATTGTGTATATAATATAATTATATATATATATTTAATATTTATCTCAATTTTACATTATATATATTACACATCGCTTTTTTACAAAAAAATATATTGTTTTCAAAAAATTTATATATAAATAGAGTGATATATAAATAGAATGATATAAAAATTTGAGCACTTTTTTTCAAATTTTCATATAATAATAATAATTTATGATCTTAAAATTTAATTAAGAATATATTTATAATATGTATTTATAAATCAATATTTATAAATAAAATATTTTTTCATAAATTAAATAATATATTTATGAATATTGCCTGAGTTTCATATGTATATGAAGCACTTAATAATATCACAAAAAAATTTACTGAATAAGGCACAATATTACTTTATATTATACACATGCATAGTTACGACATAGATCCTATTGCAAATTGAGGTGAACCCATTTCCATAAGAACTCTATCTAACCACTGCAATGGTCCTTTTAATTGCACTTCGATCCAACATGGTGTTGAAGTAACGTCCTGACGATGATATTCTGCTCCCCATCCTTTTACAAATGATACTCTGTAAAAAAAAATAAAAATTTACAATTAAGTAAATTAGCAAAAAAAAAAATGTTTTTGAATCGAATTCCATATTACAGAATTTTTATTTAATCAAATTTTCATTGAACGGAAAATTTTATTTACACCAACTTTTATTAAACAGAATTTTCTTTAAACTAAAATTTTATTTAACCGGATTTTTATAATGATTGTACGACATTTTCGACTTTTTCCAATTTATTTGGATCTACTTTATTTCAATTATTTAACAAATTTACGAAATTGAAGTAAGCAAATATTATGATAAACAATTTTTAAAGAAATAATTTTTTAAAATGCAAAATTCTATAATTCTTTGCCTAAAAAATATTTCTTGTAGTTTTTATTAATTAACAAATTATAAAAAAAAACATTTTTTTAAGTAAACAATTTTATAATTTTTCGTGTTGAATAAAAATTTGATTTATAATCGTTGTTGTCAAACGATTAAAAATTTTATAAAAATTCAATAATTGTTTAAAATTAAAGAAAAAATTATCACATAAAATTACCAAATATTTCAATTTAAAATCACTTAAAATTGAATTATTATCAAAAATTTCAATTGAAAAATTTTTTAAATTTAATTATTTCTAAAAAATGTCCATCTAATTTATTGAAATATATCTTTAGATATTTCAAAAAAAAAATTCTGTACAAAAAAGCACAATTCAAACGATGCTGAAGTACGCAAAGTTTATGATAAACAATTTTTAAAGAAATAATTTTTTAAAATGCAAAATTCTATAATTCTTTGCCTAAAAAATATTTCTTGTAGTTTTTATTAATTAACAAATTATAAAAAAAAACATTTTTTTAAGTAAACAATTTTATAATTTTTCGTGTTGAATAAAAATTTGATTTATAATCGTTGATGTCAAACGATTAAAAATTTTATGAAAATTCAATATTATTGTTCAAAATTAAAGAAAAAATTATCACATAAAATTACCAAATATTTCAATTTAAAATCACTTAAAATTGAATTATTATCAAAAATTTCAATTGAAAAATTTTTTAAATTTAATTATTTCTAAAAAATTTCCATCTAATTTATTGAAATATATCTTTAGATATTTCAAAAAAAAAACTCTGTACAAAAAAGCACAATTCAAACGATGCTGAAGTACGCAAAGTTTATGATAAACGATTTTTAAATAAATAATTTTTTTGAATGAATAATTCTATAATTTTGAGCTTGAAAAATATTTCTTGTAGTTTTTATTAAACAAGAAATTATAAAAAAAATATTTTTTTAGGTAAACAATTTTATAATTTCTCGTGTTAAATAAAAATTGGTTTCTAATCGTTGATCATAAACGTTGCGTAGTTCAGCATCGTCAATTCAGCACAATATTTGTTTTTTTTTTTAATATTTAACTTTTTATGTTTAAAAATATTTTTTGATTTTTTTACCCGGAATTTTTTTTTATCTTTTGGAAATTTTAATTTTAGACGTTTTAAAAATGTTTTTAAATTATTTTGCCCAGAATTTTGAGTTTTTCAAAAAGTAAATATTTGTGCACAAGTCAAGCGCCCAATTCAGCACAACATATTTTTTTTTTAAATTTTAATTTTAAACATTTTAATGTTATTAAATTATTTTTCTTGGAATTTTGAATTTTTCTTATTTAATTTTTTTTTTGCCCTAAATTTTGAATTTTTGCACAATTCAGTATAATAGATTTTTAAAATTTTTTAACGTTTTAATAATGTTTTAAAATTTTATTGCTCGCAATTTTGAGTTTTTCAACAAATGAATTTTTGGACAAATAAGCATAAACCTTGCAAAATTGGTCACAATATTTGTCTTTTTGGAAATTTTAACATTTTATATTTAAAAATGTTTCTTTGTTTTTTTGTCCAGAATTTTGAGTTTTTCAAAAAAAAAATATTTGCATTTAATTTAACACCGGATTTTTGCACTAATTTTAGCTCGGAATATTGAGTTTTTATGAGTCAAAAGTTTTGAACGTTCAAATGAACAAAATATTTTTTTCAATCTATAAATTATTAAAAATTAAAACGGCAATGTAAAATAAAACAGTAAATTAAATTAATTAATTAATTAATTAAATTAAGTTAATAACTTCTTTTTAGATATTTTAAACAATATTTTGTAATAAAATTCGTACTTAAAGATGTTACAAAAATATTTTGTTCATTTGAACGTTCAAAACTTTTGGCTCATGTGTTTTACAAAACGAATTTTTGCACAAGTCGAGTTCAATCGGGCACAAAATTTGTTTTTTGAAAAATTTAACTTTTCTGATCAAATTTCCTGGATAATGCAAATGATATAAGATTTTAGTGCAAACATGCAACAAGCATTATGTTTAATAAAAATTCGTAACTTAAAAATTTTATTAAATAATTTGTTTAAAAAGAAATTCTCTAAAATGCTAATTTGAAAAATTAAGATTCGTCGCTAAAACGAATTTTTCATGGAGATTTCGACTTTAAGGCGGAAAAAAAGTCGATTATTTAATTTAATTAGTTAATAAATATTTTACTTCAAATATCTAATGTTATTGTATATTATTTAATTTATTTTTTCATTCCTTAATAAGAATAATTCTACAAGAATATTATCAAGATAATTTATTAAGAGCCAAAAGTTTTAAACGTTCAAATGAACGAAATTTTTTTTTTCAACGAATTTTATTACAAAATATTGTTTTAAATATATCTAAACGGAAGTTATTAATTTAATAATTGTTTAATTTACTGTTTTGTTTTACATTGCCATTATAATTTTTATTAATTTATAGATTGTAAAAAATATTTCGTTCATTTGAACGTTCAGAACTTTTGACTCATAATTTATTTCGAATATTTCAAAACCGAACGAAGACAAATTTTCAAAATTTTAATTAAGTAGAACAAATATCTAAAAAAAAAAATGTTTAAGTCCTATTTAAAAAATTTTTTAAAGTCTGATTTATGCAAATAATTTGAATTTAAAAATTTAGTTAAGTTAAAAAAAATTTCGGAAAATAATTAAGTTGAAGCTTTTTTAAATAGTTGAATTTTTAAAGAAATATTAAAATTATTTAAAATAATAATTGAATTTTTAAAGAAATATTGAAATTATTAAAAATAATAATTGAATTTTGGAATTGTAAAATTTTACAGAATTGAAAATAATTTATCAAATAATTTTAGTTAAAAATTTGGTAAATATTTGAAATTAAAAAGATCAAAAGAAGATCTTGTATTGTTGTGTAATTAAAAAAAAAGACTTATTTTGTTTAAAAAATTTTGTAAAAAAAAAAAAGTCGGAAAAAGTCGGAAAAAGTCGTATAATCCAAGGCCTGTATTTTTGTAGAGAAATAAATTGAAATATAATTTATATAAGAATGAAATATAATAAAATTTCAATATAATTTACCTAATAAGGCACATTGTTGTCAACTCGTAAACAGCTTCATATCCACGATTAACCGTCTCTTGTAATAATGACCAAAATTCTTGATTGCTAAAAATTTTGAGCGAACATTTTGGTGGAATTTTACAAACAGTACTCAAATGAAATCCATGTGCTTGATTACAATTTCTCGATTGTACAAAAACTGAATAATCCGATAAGCATTTTGCATAAACTTCACCATTGACATAATGAAAACTTATACCCTTTCCAATATGTCTCCTTGTATTTTCAATAGTTGAATTTCTATTAATATTTGACAATTGCCCTAAGCAAAATCGTGCCGCATTATTTGGATGTGTAAATCCATCGACAATTATATTATGCGATTGACAATTAAAAACTTCACCAACTCGTACATTTAATTCATAATATGAAATTGTTGACCAATTTTGTGGTTCTTGATAACAAACTTGTGCAACTTGATTTGAAATAACATTTGACGTTGGATTATTCAACATTTGATTTCCATTCATTTGCTGATGTTGTTGATGTTGTTGTTGTTGTTGTTGTTGTTGTTGTTGTTGATGATGATGATGATGTTGATTATTATGATTATTATACTGCGATTGAGCGAATTGTTGCGATTGATATGGTGATTTGTCACAATTATTTGTATTTAAATATTGTGTGAAATCAGTTTGAAAATCAACGTCATTAGTGAAATTTTGTGGAATAAATGATTGCTCGAGATTTGTGAGTGATGATTCCATTGGTGGTGTTGGAAGTCCTCCGGATGTTGGAAAATCATCAGGCGATGGAAATCTGCCAGGATGTGAAAGTCCACCAGGACTTGGCATTCCGCCAGGTGAATTAGCTGAATTATTGAAACCATTATTGGAGCAGGTCATATTTTTTGGCATCACATATTCAGTGGCTGCTTGTTGAAATGGTTGAAGTGCATGATCAGGTGGATATTCCGAGTGTCTTGGCACAAGAATTGGTGGTAACATTTGAATATCAACACGTTTATAATGATAGGGATTAACGCAGACCTCGGGTTTTTTTGCATTAAATGGAAATTGACATGATTCAATGGATTTTAATTCATTGTGCGATTGTAAATCGGGCCATCGCCATACACGACAATAAATAACGTGTGGCAAACCTTTACGATGTGATACTTGTAATCGACCATCGAGACTACGTGGAATTGTTATACATTTACTTGGAACACCAGGATTACTTAATGCACGTTCCAATTCATCGAGAGAACCTTTTTTTTTCTTTAATTTTTTTACTAATGCATCGACAGCTCTTTCAGCCCATTTTTCTTCCTCGTCACCCTGCTTCCAACCAAGAAGCTTTTTTACCGCTGGATTTGTGAATGAAAAAAATTTGATGAAAGCATTTTTGTGACCCGATCCTCCTTCTTCGTCTTCCATGTTTTTTTTTGCTTTACCAAGAAGAGCTTGTGATTTTGTTCTATAAAAAAAAAATTTATTTTTGATTAATGACAATTTAGTTGAATTATTATTATTATTATTACAATTTTCTATTTATAAATTTTTAAAAATAGAATTTCATTTTTTGTACTTTTTGCAAACCTCGAAGCGCGTTCGACATTAAAAATTACATTATTTACAATTATTTAAAATTTAATTAAGAACAGTTTTTAGATTTTTTAAAAAAAATTTTCAAGTTCATTATAAAATTTTTTTAAAAAAGTTTTTCGAGTCTAATTTATGGAAATTATATCTATTATTGCATGTCAATCAGAATTTCAGTAACATTTTTGAATAGTAAATGATATAGAACTTTTACAAAGCTAAAGAACGCAACGTTTATGATAAACAATTTTTTAAAATAAAAATTCTATAATTTCTTGTCTAAAAAATATTTTTTTTCTAATTTGTTGATTAATGAAAACTACAAGAAATATTTTTTAGGCAAAAAATAAATAGAATTTTTCATTTTAAAAAATTTTTTCTTTAAAAATCGTTTATCATAAACATGGCGGTACTTCAGCTTCATTGAACTTTTATTATATCGAAATTTTATTTCGACGAATTAAAAAATTTTCGTAAATTAAACTAGGTAAAATTCATTAAAAAGGAAATTCTGATAAATAAAAATTTAGCTATGTAAAAAATCCTATTATCTTAAATATCGATATCGATTCGAAAATTCTGTTAAATTTAAATTCATTTATGTAAATCAAAATTCTGTTTAGTAAAACTTCAACTATATGAGAAAATTTTTTTTAAAATAAAAATTCTGTCAAATGGAATTTTTGCTCAATAAACATTCGTGTAAATAAGAATTTTTTAAATATGAATTTTCAAAAAATAAAAATATGACAATATGAAACTAATTTAGCTATATGTAAAAATTTGTATAAATAGAAATTTTGCCAAGTAGATTTCTAGGTAAATAGAAATTTTTCTAAAATAAGAAATTATAATACGTAAATTAAGCTTTATTAAAACTTGTCAAAAAGAAAAAAAAATTCTGTTGAATATAGGAATTTTTTTTTAATGCAAATTCTTCTAAATAAATATTATAAGCTATGCGAAATTTTTTTTAATGTAAAAATTCTACTTAATAAAAATATTGTGAATCTCAAATTATATTATGCATAAGGTGGGCCTTAAAAAAAATTGTGGACCTTAAAATTTTTCTTTTTTTTTTGAAAAAAATTTTACATTTTTAAAAAATTAAAAAATTTTTCCCCTGAAAATTAAAATTAACGTTTCATCAAAAATAAGAAACATTTCCTGTCATTAGAACAAAAATAAAAATGTAACACATGATTAATTTTGGGCCTTACAAAAAATTAAAAAACTTTTGATAAAGTTTATTTTAATTTTCGAAAGGGAAAAAGTTAATAAACTGTTAAACTTTTTTATTTTTGTTCAAATAGTATCTGTTCCATATCTTTGATAAAATTTTAAATTTTCGTCAAAAAAAAAAAATTTTTAAGTCCCACCTTAAACCATTTGTTTGGATAGGGAAAATTGACCGCAATAACAGTGTTAGAAATAGTCGATGCCATTTAAAGAAATTGAACTTTTCACACGTACGGCCCAAACGGTCCCTTGGAATCGATTTTGTTTAATAGATTTTTTTATTCCGAACAACTTTTGTATTTAACATTTTTTCCGAAGCTTGCAAATATCTCGAAAAGTACGAATTTTCGTAAAAAATGTTCAAGACAAAAGTTGTTCCAAACAAAAAGATGTACATCTTTGAAACCAAAAAAATTGGGCCCGGAGCCCAATGTTGGGCTCTACAATGAAAAAAGTGGTTTTCTTAAATGAGACCATTAATTTTCAGTATCAAATTCGTAATCCCCATGAAATTCTGCGTTCAGACATGTGGTATAAGTGCCCAAAATATTGGGCCCTATTTAAGGTAATGGGTCCAAAATTTATCTACAGATAAATAAATTTAAAAAAATCGCATCTTGGAGGGATTTTGAGATCACAGGATTAGAAATTGGAAGCTAATTTTCAAATTGGGCATAGAGCCCAATGTAAGATTCCGCGGCCCAATGTGAGGCCCACAGTAAAAAAATTAGTTGTCTTAAATAAAACCCATTAATTTTCAGTATCCAATTCGTAATCCCCATGAATTTCTGCGTTTAGACTTGTAGTAAAAGTGAAAAAAATATTGGGCCCAATGTCTGGGATTAGGCCCCAACATTTTTCGTTAAATAAATAAATTAAAAAAATCGCATTTTTAGAGGTTTTTGGGGTCACAGGATTAAAAATTCGAAGCTAATTTTCAAATTCAACACAAAGCCCAATGTAAGATTCCGCGGCCCAATGTGAGGCCCACATTAAAAAAATTAGTTGTTTTATTAAAACCCACTAATTTTCAGTATCCATTTTAGAATCCTTATGAAATTCTGGGTTTAGAATTGTAGTACAAATTCCAAAAATATTGGGCCCTCACATTGGGCTGCAGAATCTTACATTTGGGCATTGTGTCCAATTTGAAAATTAGCTTCGAATTTTTAATCCTGTGTCCCCAAAAACCCCTAAAGATACGATTTTTTAAATTTATTTAAATTAATGAAAAATGTTGGGCCTAATCCCAGACATTGGGCCCAATATTTTTTTCATTTTTACTACAAGAAAAAATGAAAATCATGGGGATTACGAGTTGGATACTGAAAATTAATGGGTTTTATTTAAGACAACTAATTTTTTTTACTGTGAGCCTCACATTGGGCCGCGGAATCTTACATTGGGCTCTATGCCCAATTTGAAAATTAACTTCGAATTTCTAATCCTGTAATCTTAAAATCCCTCCAAGATGAGATTTTTTAAAATTAATTTATCTGTAGATAAATTTTGGAACTAATATCTTGGATTGGGCCCAATATTTTGGGCACTTATACCACATGTCTGAATGCAGAATTTCATGGGGATTACGAATTTAATACTGAAAATTAGTGGTCTCATTTAAGAAAACCACTTTTTTCATTGTAGGGCCCAACATTGGGCTCCGGGCCCAATTTTTTTGGTTTCAAATATGTACATCTTTTTGTTTGGAACAACTTTTGTCTTGAACATTTTTTACGAAAACTCGTACTTTTCGAGATATTTTGTAAGTTTCCATACATTTGGAACACCCTGTATATTGAGTAGAAGAGAATTTTATGATTTGAAGTGTAATTTAAAAAGTTCCAGGAAAAGGTATTTTGTACAAATTATGGTAGTGCAAGAGGGGTTGGGACAAAACAATACAAAACTCGAAACGTTGAAATGTACAAGTAGATTTCATTCCAGATAAGAGTGGCACGGTTGAATTTTCCAAAACTATCATAAGCTCCCTCATAAATTCATCGTGCAAGTTTTTGTATTTCTCAACAACATTATATATAGGGACTTCTTGCATCGAGCATAATATAGATTGCTCAGTCCGATAGATGAAAATGAGATTAAAAATGGGTAAAACCCAATAATATATATAGTGAACCTCCACTAAAAGCAAATAAATGACAAAAACTTGTAATCTCTTTTTAAAAAAAAATTAAAATTACATCAATTTACTTTTTTCCATAAATTTACAATATTTTTTAAAAATACTATAATTTTATAAAATATTAAATAAAGACAAAAAAAAAGCTAAATTTTATTCAACATAATTCTTAGGTATTTTATATAATTTCTATTTAACCGAATTTTTAATATTAATTTTTATTTAGCAAAATTCTTATTTAACAGAATAAATTAACTATTTAATTGAATTTTTGAAAAACAGAATTTTTATTTTTGCATAAATTTTCATTTCACTATAAATTTTTAATTACAATAAAAACACAGAAATTTTGTATTAAATAAAAATATTGATAAATTAATTTTGATTAAATTGAAATCAATTATAAAAAAAAAAAAAATAAAAATGCAGTTTAATAATAAACTTATAAAATTTCTGTCACTGATATAGAAATTTATGAGTTTGAGAATATGCTTCTCGCATCTCAGTCACTTTGTAGTTATAGGTTAGGTTAGGTGCTTAAAAGTTGTCAATATTATTGTTGCATAACAAAGAACTAAATGCTTCATCTACACATAATTTTAACAAAATAATTTTTATATTATAAATCTAGCAAAAAAAACAAGCTTTATTATCAATCGAAAATTCTAATAAAAATAAATACCAATGTAAATTATCTCCTATTGAATTAGGAAAATTTGAAAAAAAAATATCTTGATTCTGGAATCAACTTTTAAGATCTAAACTTACAAAATATATATATATATATCAGATTGAAAATAAAAAGATAATGTATGTAATATATACCTTAATCTTGTAATCTTGGATATTATCTTTAGTGTGCTTGATTTTGCCGGTATATCCAGGGAAAATTAGAAAAAAGATCAGGCGTTTAAATACACAATGTCATTTTCAAAATCACTTATTAATTTCTTTATTATATTTTAATATTAACTGACAAACTATCCATGTTACGCCTCAAGTAGTCTTAAGTAATACACACGAACTAAAATACTAACTCTCCGAGAGAGTGAGTCAAATGCCACTTGTGTCGAACACTGGCGTTGTTGCCAAACTGAAAATTGGGTTCGCAAATTGAACATTGAACCTCTTCAGGCAGGTCAGGCGCGCACAAAAAGACGAAGGTTCTGGGCTTAGGTAATTCAGGTAGCAAAATAAGAGAGATATAACTGGTGTATGTAAACTGCTTCCAACTATATGCCTTGGATCTTTTAAAAGATAAAACCAAAAATTGTGATAAAATAATGTAAACTAATTTATATATATATATATATATATATATACAAAACGAAAACAATTTTGTTTACAATTCGATTGATACACGTTTTGACGGTTACCATGGAATCATTAAAATCGACTTTACTTTTCTATAAATACAATTTACTGCGATTTTATATTCATTGTATTTTCATTGTTTTTATTTCATCAAAATCATAATTTATTCATAAATAAGAAGAAAAAAATGATTGGAATAATTGATGAAGTTCTCAATGATCTTGGATGGAACGATGGATTTCGAATTCCAATTGCCAATGAAGAAAATAAAAAATTGGAAGAAGAAGTAAGAATAAATTTTTCAATCTACAGAAAATAGATTAAATAAAAATAAAATAAAAAAAATAAATAAATATTTTTAATATTTTTTTTAAATAAAATAAACTCCGTCATCGAAAATCACGTTTTCTAAATTAATTTTTTTTTACACATTAAGGAAAGGGACCGGAGAAATTTCAACTCATCGAAATTAATGTTATTAAGGGGTGTCAATTTTTTCTTAGCATTATTTGGAATCTAAAATTATTGTGAATTAACAAAATTAAAAAATAAATTTTTTTTACCATTTTAGAAATTTTATTTTTTTCAAAATATGAAAAATTTTTAAAAATTCATACAATTGATTGTTCAGAATCATGAAAGAAGCCTACAAAAAAAAATTACCGATAAAAAATTAATAAAAATTGTATAAGAAGTTGAATTTTTAAGGAATAATTGATCAAATTTAAATCAAACATTTGGTTTAGGGGTAACAATTATTAAAAAAAAAAAATTAGAACCTGAAATCATATTTCACTAGAAAAAATAAAAAAAAAAATAATTTTTTTTTTCAGAAATTTATTTTTTTGAAAAAATTGATTTTTTTCAAAATCTATTCGATTGATTGTTCAGAATCATGAAAAAAAGTGTGTACAAAAAAATCAGCAATGAAAAATAATAAAAAATTGCGACAGAAGTTTAAATTTTTAGGTTTTGAAAATTTCGATTTTTTTTTTTTAAATTATTAATTAAATTAATTAATTATTCAATATTAACAGAAAAAAAATTTCAAAACATTTGAAATTTTAGCGGTCCCTCTCCTTAATTTTTTTGTAATATTAATTTTTAAAAAATACAATAAATTCCTTTTACATTTTAATTACTTTTTTTTAAATTTAACTAAATTTTATTAAAAATTTAATTTATTTTCAAATAATTTTTTTTTAAGGTGGAGAAAAAACGAAAATTGAAAGATAAATTATCCTCAGAAATGGAGGCCAAAGAGGAACTTGTGCAAACGATAAAAAAAAATATTATTCATCTTACATCGCAACATGATCATAATCAAAATTTAATTTCTGCCTATTCAGCACAAACGGAGGCTGAAAATAATTTATATAAAACATCACAATCGACATTTTCAAGTATGAAACAAGAAATAAATCAATTTGAAAAAGATAAAAATGAAACGTGCGAAAGAATTGCCAACATGGAAAAGGATATGTCACGAGTTAATGAAAAATTAATAATAATGGAATCAACGATAAAAGTCGATCAAACACGATTGACAAAATGGGAAAAATCGTTACAACGCGATATAAAGGACAATGAAATAATTCAACATTTTATTCAATCGGATACAAAAAAATTCAAGGTTTAATGGATAATTCATTTTTTTTTTTAATTATTTTTATATATTTTTTCAGCATTTATTAAAAAAAAAAAAATCCACAATTTTTTTTTTTAGTATTTTTTTTTAAATACAATTAAAGTAATTATTGAAATTCGCAGGAATACGAGCTTAAACGTCAAAAACTTGGCGAAGAATTAGAAAATTATAGAAATGGCATTGTTAAAGCTGTTGATAAATTAAATGAAATTGAAAATTCTTTAGATCAAACGGCAAGAATGTATGTTCAAGCTTTAAAAGAAAGACGACAATTAATAAATCAATGGACACAAAGCGTTCTTATTTTAAGACAAAGGGATAATTCTATTCAAGAAACACGTAAAGTATGAAATATAATTTTTTTCTTAATTTTTAATTAAAATTTTTTATTTAATATTCTATAATATGTGTATACTATATAATAAATTATTATTTAACTTTCTTTTTCTCTCAATTTCAGGAGATGGGAAATCTACGAGAAATCGCGAAGGAAAAAATGGAATTATTCGAGGATGCTGAACAATTTTTAAAACATCAAATTTCAAATAATAAAGAATTAGACGAGAATATTGAACAATTGGAGAAAGAAATTTTCTTTGAAAAAGGAGAGCAAAAAAAACTCTCGGAAACTATCGTAACATTCGAATCTGAGGTTATTGAATTAATAATTTAATAATTTTGAAAAAAAACTTCCTTTTTTTTATTAAAAAATAAAAAAAACTTTATTCTGAGAATCCAAAAAGTATTAAATATAATTTTAAAATTAGTTATCGTAAAATATAAATTTCACAATAAGGGAAAATTCAATTCAAAAATAAAAACAATTTTAATTTTGTATTTTAGATTCAAATTCAGAAAATGAATTTACATGAAAATGCTTCACAAACACAAACGAAGAGAGCGAATATTAAAAGAAAAAAAATTGAAATCGAAAATAAGCAAATAAAAATGCGATCTATCAACAAACAAATTGATAATTTAAAAATAACTTTGAATGATATCAGCAATCAAAAAATGAATGTCGAAGATCGAATTCGTCAATTAGAGGAAATGCTCGAGGTATAATAATAATAATAATAGTAATAATTAAAAAAATTAATATAATAATTACGTCTGATAATTATTTGTAAGAAAAATATTAAAATTAAATATTTCAGAAAGAAGAAAAACGTAAAATTTCAATAACCAAAGAGACAAATCGCATTCAATCTCTAATATTGCGCACGACAAATCAAATAAATGAATTGGAAAATGAGAGAAAAATCATTTATCTAAGACATCAGAGTGAGAAGAAAAAAATTGAAGCTTTTGATGTGTTTCGGATGAAAATCGAGAAATTATCAAAAAAAAAGAAAACTGAACTTTACAATGTTGAAATTGAAGTACAAAAAAATGAAATAAGATTACAGCATATGACTGATATTGAAAAAGATAGAGGTGAAATTCAAAGAAAACAAAAAATTATCGAGGATTTACAGAAAATTTCAATAGAAAAAATGGGAACATTAAAATTACTACAATCACAAGTAGATCATCTTGATGTAAGTATAGAATTAATTTATCCAAAAAAGTAAAAAAAAAAAAAAAAAAATCTATCTATAATCGAATAATTAATATAATTATTGTTATATAATTTTCAAGCACGATTTAAAAGAAATGATGCAAGGACAAATAAAAAATAATGAAGAATTGGAACGTTTACGTGATAAAAAACAAAAATTAATAGCATTAATAGACGGTGGTGAGAAACAACTTATATCATTGCAAACAGCAAACGAAGAAAAGCAAATTGAAGAAAATTTATTACGACTAAAAGTTAATCAAATTGAAAAATTAATGTCAAGTATCGATGGAAAAGTGTATAATTTAGAAAAATATCGTCTTCAAATTGAAGCTGTGAGAAAAATTTTTTTAAAAAATTTATTTACCCAAAAAATTTATTATAAACCAATTTTTATATTTTGAAGGAATTTTTATTTAATTCAATTTCTATAAAATAAATTTATAAATCTACTATAAAAAATTTCATGAATTTTTCAATTAAAAACATAAATTCTTTTAATTTTAATAAATTCAATTAAACAAAATTTCACCACATGAAATTCATAGAGCTCATGAAATATATGAATTAATTTTTTTACTTGGATAGAAAAAATAAATATTAAAGCGGAAAATAAATAAAAAAAAATAATAATAATATAAAATTTCAGAGCATGCAAGAAAGAATGGCAGAAATTAAAGCACAACGCGAAAGTTTATCGATACAAAAACGTGTTGCTCTCAATGAATCTTCTGAATTGCGTACAATTATATCAGAGAGAAAAAATCGAATTCAACAATTGCGCGCAAAATATGATAATAATAATGCATTAATTGGCATTAATCCAAAAGATGGACAACCATTAACGTCAACTTATTTACAAATACAAAATGCCCAAGAAAAATATTTACTTCAAGAACATGGCGATGAACTCGATCGAACAATAAGAAAGTCTGAATGTGAAATTGAAAGTATGGAAAATACATTGAGAGTTGTCAAGACGTGTAATGACAAATATAAATCAAGTTTAGATCATGTCGATGAAAATGGACCTGAAAAAATGGAGCAAAAAAAATTGGAGGAAGAAATTTATAATATTATCGAGAAAAAGAAACAAATACGCAATAATTTGGAAGAGAAGCAAAAAGATCTAAAAGTAAAGTTTTTCAATTTGATAAATATTACATCATTTTTTTTTTTATTTTATTGTGTAGTAAAAATATTAATTGTTATTTTTTTATATACCTAAATGAGAGCTCTAAAATTAAATTGTTGAAATTTTCATTTTACAAAATTTTTATTTTATCGAATTTCAAATTGACAGAATTATTATTTGCTTATGAATTTTCATTAGAAAGAATAGTCATTTAAGAGAATTTTTATTTTACAGAAACAAAAAAAAAAAAGAATTCTTTTCTCATCGGATTTTCAATTGTTTAAAATTTACATTTTTACAACTCTGAATTTTTTATTTTACAGAACTTTCATTTGTTCAAATAAATATGAGACAAAAAATTATGACACAAATTTAAAAATTGACCAAACAAAAGTTATCAAACGAAATTATGATTGGTTAATTTTAAATTTTGCGCCGCATTTTTCTGTCAAATATTTATTCGAACAAATGAAAGTTCTGTAAAATAAAAATTCATCGAGAAAAGAATTTCTTTCTAATAATCCTTTTTTGTAAAATAAAAATTCTTATTCCTATTCTGTCAAATTCGATGAAATAAAAATTCGTTTATGTACTTGACAATTTTTTAATATAGAAATTCTATTAAGGGTATGTGGGAACCTCCCACGTGACCTAGTATAGGAAAATGTGTTTTGGTATAGTATACTTTTCACTCTAAAATAAGAAAAGATTTTTGTCTAAAATTTTGAGTGATGATAAATTAGGGTACAAGGAATCTCGCTGTTCTCCGTAAAATACGAACCACTTTTAGCGAACCTTTTTTTAAAAATAATGTAAAAATAATTTTTTAACATAAAATTATAGTTTTTCTAAATAAAATTGATTAATTTTTAGTATTTAAATCTGTGAGCTTGAATGGGCGAAAGTTAATGTTTTAAAAATTGGAAAATAAATGTGTATTAATTATGTATATATAAAAAAAAACAATTAACATTTTTACTACTATTATACATATATACAATATTATAAATTTAATTTCGAATTCAAATAATAATTATAAATACCAACATTTTGATGTTTTGGCGGTTTCTTAATCTATGACCTTGACTTTTGAGACTACGTGCGCCTCGGTTCGAAAAACTTTTTGAATCTAAAATGTATAACAAAATCTCTTTATAATAAATTATAACAGCAATAATAATAAAAATAATAATAATAATAAACTGATAACTAAATACAAAAATTTTTTCGCAGAGAATGGAAGATAATTTTGCAATACTTATCGAAGATATTGAAAGAAAGAAAGAAGAGAGAGTGGAAAAGGAGAGATATGTTGAAAATTTGGAACGTCAAATTACTGAGCAAAGGGAAAAATTGTTGAGGGCAGAGAAAAGTCTTAAGAAGGCGTACAAGGACATTCAAAATATGTGCATGTGCACTGACGATCATACAATTTTATGGCAGGAGGTACATTATTTATCTTCTAATTATCCCCATCTGCTTACCTGCTTATTTTTTTTTTCCTTTTAGACTATATAGGTAATTCTTTTCATGGTATTCAGACCCCCCGTTAAACTACCTGTTAACAGTGTTTCTAATTTTGTAAAGATCAAAAATAATTCTTTCCACATGTTTCTATAAAGTAAACCGAGATTTTTACTCTATAACCGCAGGACATAACTTATTTCATTTCACAGAATTTTTTTTTAAAATCTTCTCAAATTTCCATTTAAAGAAAATATTCATTTAGACAAGTTTTTTCAAAATAAAAATTTCATTTAATGAATTTTTTTTTATTCCCATACGAATTAGAGAGAATTTTTTTAAAACGCCAAATTCGAAAAATTCGGTACGAATTTAAAAATTAACCAATTATAATTTACTTGATAATTTTTGATTGGTTAATTTTCAAACTAGCGCCAAAAATCTTTCCAATTTTTTTCCCCACAAAAAAAATTGCAATTTTTAATTACATTATTTAAAAAAAAAAAAAAACTTTTAAATTTTAAGTCAGTAAAGAAATAAAAAAATGTTTTCACAGAAAGATATTTCAGCAAGAGAATTACACGATTTAAACAATTCAGTTCTACAGCAAGTGGCTGAATTCACAATTCGTCATGTGGAGGCAGAAGCGTATGTAAAAAAATTGCTTGCTTCTAAAAATATCGAATTGCCATCGAAATATTACATGAGACCATCGCCCAGTTCTAGCAGATGTGAAAGTCGAGCTTAAAATTTTTTACATGAAAATAATTGGAATAAATTTTTTTTTTTTTTGAAGCTTTGATTACATACAAATAAGTTATTATTAAAAAATTTCTTTATTAAGAAAGTTAATTATTTTTCTTTTATAACTTATACAAAAAAAGCCTATATATTTATATTTATTGAAACAGTAATATATGAATTATTATATAAAAATAAAATATTTACCTCCTCAACTGCTTCTTAATAATATTTTTTAGAAAAAGACTACATTTTCCCAAAAATTGTAATAAAAAAAATTGTTCACAAAAATTTTTTTTTTCTAAAAATATAAAAATGAAGTTGTAAAGACAGAGGAGAAAATAAATTGACTGAATAATTCGATGAGATTCAACAATTTCTAACTGTTCTTCTCATTAACTTTAACAATGACACTTTTTACTTCAGTGTAAGCTTCCAAACCATATTCTCCAAGTTCTCTGCCATGACCAGACATTTTATATCCGCCAAATGGAACTTGAGGTGATAGATTATTATAGGTATTCACCCTAGAAAAATTAAATTCGAATTTAAAATTTCTTCTGAATGTAGAAAAATTAAATTAAAAATAATAATAATAATAATAATAATAATAATAATAATACAATTAAAAATGAAAATTTTAATAAAATTTACCAAACAGTTCCAGCTCTTAAACCCTGAATAAGATAATTCGCTTTATCGATATTTTTCGTGAAAACTGCAGCTGCAAGTCCATAATCAGTGTTATTTGCACGTGAAATAACTTCATCTAAATTATTGAATTTCAAAATTTGCTGTACTGGACCAAAGATCTGCATAATAATTATTAGAAAATTAAAATAAAAATTCACAATCAACTTAATGAAAAACAGATTTTTTTTTACCTCTTCTCTTGCAATTGTCATTTCATCTTTTACGTCAGCAAAAACAGTTGGGGAAATAAAATATCCTTTGTCACCTACTCTTTCGCCTCCGCAAAGTAATTTTGCTCCTTCTGCTTTTCCAATATCGATTAAACTCAAGATTTTCTTCATTTGATCTTCATCCACCTAAAAATAAACAATGCCACTCTTGTGAAATTCAATTTAAAATAATAAGAAAATAAATTATGTTATTAATATTAATATATTATAAATATTTTTAAATATTTGAATATTAGAATGTAAAAAATAAAAAAAAGTGTCAAATTACCTGAGGACCTTGTTCATTTTTAGAATCAAATGGATTTCCAACAGTTCTTGCTTTTGCTCTCGCTGCACTGTGTTCAATAAATTTATCGTAAATTGAACTGTGAACAAAAGTTCTAGAACCTGCACAACAACATTGACCCTGAAATATATTGAACAATATTTGAACCATTTTAATTCTCAGTTAGGTAAAACAACTGAAAATCATATCAAAATACTTGATGATTTTATTTTTTAAAAATCTATGTATTAATATATGTCAAAATATTCACAACATGATTTCGTAACCATAAATTTTAGACTTAAAAAAACGATATTATTCAAAAAATATTTAACATTATTATTATTACGTACCGAAAATATAAATTATTAAATTTTAAAATAGTGTAAACGAATTTAAAAATTTAAAACATTGCAGGTATTTCTATTTTTTGCTTACAAATTTTCTTCCACCTTTTATTTGTTGACCACTAAAAGTTGCAAAAATTTTGTTCAGATAACACATTATACCTACAAGTGAAGTACAAGTGAAATACGAATGAAATACAGAGAAGTAAGATGAAGTACAAATGAAGTATGGTGAGGTACAAATGAAGTGCGATTGAATTCAGGTGAAATACAATGAAGTACGAGTGAAGTACGAGTAAAGTACGATAAAATATAAATGAAGTACAAATGAAGTACGATGAAGTACGAATGAAATACGGGTGAAGTACGATAAAGTACGAATCAAATACGGGTGAAGTACAAATGAAGTACGGGTGAAGTTTGATGAAGTACGGGTGAAGTACAAATGAAGTACAAGTGAAGTACAAATGAAGTACAGGTGAAGTACAATGAAGTACAAATGAAGTATAGGTGAAGTACAATGAAGTACAAATGAAGTACAAGTGAAGTACAAGTGAAGTACAAATGAAGTACAGGTGAAGTACGATGAAGTACAAATGAAGTACAGGTGAAGTACGATGAAGTACAAATGAAGTACGATGAAGTACAAATGAAGAACAGGTGAAGTACGATGAAATACAAATGAAGTACGATTGAAGTTTGATGAAGTACGGGTGAAGTACGATGAAGTACAAATGAAGTACAGGTGAAGTACAAATGAAGTACGATGAAGTACGAATGAAATACGGGTGAAGTACGATAAAGTACGAATGAAATACGGGTGAAGTACAAATGAAGTACGGGTGAAGTTTGATGAAGTACGGGTGAAGTACGATGAAGTACAAGTGAAGTACAAATGAAGTACGTGTGAAGTTTGATGAAGTACGGGTGAAGTACGGGTGAAGTACGATGAAGTACAAATGAAGTACAGGTGAAGTACAAATGAAGTACGGGTGAAGTACGATGAAGTACAAATGAAGTACAGGTGAAGTACGATGAAGTACAAATGAAGTACAAGTGAAGTAGAAAAGAAGTACAGGTGAAGTACGATGAAGTACAAACGAAGTACGAGTGAAGTACAAATGAAGTACAGGTGAAGTACGATGAAGTACAAATGAAGTACGATGAAGTACAAATGAAGTACAGGTGAAGTACGATGAAGGACAAATGAAGTACAAGTGAAGTACTAATGAAGTACAGGTGAAGTACTAATGAAGTACAAATGAAGTACAGGTGAAGTACGATGAAGTACAAATGAAGTACAAGTGAAGTACAAATGAAGTACAGGTGAAGTAAGATGTAGTACAAATGAAGTACGAGTGAAGTACGATGAAGTACAGGTGAAGTACGATGAAGTACAAAGGAAGTACAAGTGAAGTACGAGTGAAGTTTGATGAAGTACGGGTGAAGTACGATGAGGTACAGGTGAAGTACGATGTAGTACAAATGAAGTACGGGTGAAGTTTGATGAAGTACAAATTAAGTTTGAGTGAAGTTTGATGAAGTACGATGAAGTACAAATGAAGTACAAATGAAGTACAAATAAAGTACAGGTGAAGTACGATGAAGTACAAATGAAGTACGGGTGAAGTACGATGAAGTACAAATGAAGTACAGGTGAAGTACGATGAAGTGCAAATGAAGTACAGGTGAAGTACGATGAAGTACAAATGAAGTACAGGTGAAGTACGATGAAGTACAAATGAAGTACGGGTGAAGTACGGGTGTAGTACGATGAAGTACGATGAAGTACAAATGAAGTACAGGTGAAGTACAAATGAAGTAAGAATGAAATACGGGTGAAGTACAAATGAAGTACGAGTAAAGTTTGATGAAGTCGGGGTGAAGTACGATGAAGTACAAATGAAGTACAGGTGAAGTACGATGAAGTACAAATGAAGTACAAATGAAGTACGGGGAAGTACGATGAAGTACAAATGAAGTACAAATGAAGTACAGGTGAAGTACGATGAAGTACAAATGAAGTACGATGAAGTAAAATGAAGTACAGGTGAAGTACGATGAAGTACAAACGAAGTGCAAGTGAAGTACAAATGAAGTACGAGTGAAGTTTGATGAAGTACGGGTGAAGTACGATGAAGTACAAATGAAGTACAGGTGAAGTACGATGAAGTACAAATGAAGTACGGGTGAAGTACGGGTGTAGTACGATGAAGTACGATGAAGTACAAACGAAGTACAGGTGAAGTACGATGAAGTACAAATGAAGTAAGAATGAAATACGGGTGAAGTACAAATGAAGTACGGGTGAAGTACGATGAAGTACAAACGAAGTGCAAGTGAAGTACAAATGAAGTACGAGTGAAGTTTGATGAAGTACGGGTGAAGTACGATGAAGTACAAATGAAGTACGGGTGAAGTACGGGTGTAGTACGATGAAGTACGATGAAGTACAAATGAAGTACAGGTGAAGTACGATGAAGTACAAGTGAAGTACGATGAAGTACGAGTGAAGTTTGATGAAGTACGTGTGAATTACGATGAAGTACAAATGAAGTACAAATGAAGTACGGGGAAGTACGATGAAGTACAAATGAAGTACAAATGAAGTACAGGTGAAGTACGATGAAGTAAAATGAAGTACAGGTGAAGTACGATGAAGTACAAACGAAGTGCAAGTGAAGTACAAATGAAGTACGAGTGAAGTTTGATGAAGTACGGGTGAAGTACGATGAAGTACAAATGAAGTACAGGTGAAGTACGATGAAGTACAAATGAAGTACGGGTGAAGTACGGGTGTAGTACGATGAAGTACGATGAAGTACAAATGAAGTACAGGTGAAGTACGATGAAGTACAAATGAAGTAAGAATGAAATACGGGTGAAGTACAAATGAAGTACGAGTAAAGTTTGATGAAGTCGGGGTGAAGTACGATGAAGTACAGGTGAAGTACGATGAAGTACAAATGAAGTACGGGTGAAGTACAATTGAAGTACAGGTGAAGTACGATGAAGTACAAATGACGTACGGGTGAAGTACGATGAAGTACAAATGAAGTACAGGTGAAGTACGATGAAGTACAAACGAAGTACAAGTGAAGTACAAATGAAGTACGAGTGAAGTTTGATGAAGTACGGGTGAAGTACGATGAAGTACAAATGAAGTACAGGTGAAGTACGATGAAGTACAAATGAAGTACGATGAAGTACAAATGAAGTACGGGTGAAGTACGATGAAGTACAAATGAAGTACGATGAAGTACAAATGAAGTACGGGTGAAGTACGATGAAGTACAAATGAAGTACGGGTGAAGTACGATGAAGTACAAATGAAGTACAGGTAAAGTACGATGAAGTACAAATGAAGTACGATAAAGTACAAATGAAGTACAGGTGAAGTACGATGAAGTACTAATGAAGTACAGGTGAAGTACGATGAAGTACAAATGAAGTACGGGTGAAGTACGGGTGTAGTACGATGAAGTACAAATGAAGTACAGGTGAAGTACAAATGAAGTAAGAATGAAATACGGGTGAAGTACAAATGAAGTACGAGTAAAGTTTGATGTAGTCGGGGTGAAGTACGATGAAGTACAAATGAAGTACAGGTGAAGTACGATGAAGTACAAATGAAGTACTGGTGAAGTACGATGAAGTACAAATGTAGTACAGGTGAAGTACGATGAAGTACAAATGAAGTACGATGAAGTAAAATGAAGTACAGGTGAAGTACGATGAAGTACAAACGAAGTACAAGTGAAGTACAAATGAAGTACGAGTTAAGTTTGATGAAGTACGGGTGAAGTACGATGAAGTACAAATAAAGTACAAATGAAGTACGATGAAGTACAAATGAAGTACGGGTGAAGTACGATGAAGTACAAATGAAGTACGATGAAGTACAAATGAAGTACGGGTGAAGTACGATGAAGTACAAATGAAGTACGATGAAGTACAAATGAAGTACGGGTGAAGTACGATTGAAGTTTGATGAAGTACGGGTGAAGTACGATGAAGTACAAATGAAGTACGAGTGAAGTTTGATGAAGTACGGGTGAAGTACGATGAAGTACAAATGAAGTACGGGTGAAGTACAAATGAAGTACAGGTGAAGTACGATGAAGTACAAATGAAGTACAAGTGAAGTACAAATGAAGTACAGGTGAAGTACGATGAAGTACAAATGAAGTACGAGTGAAGTACAAATGAAGTACAGGTGAAGTACGATGAAGTACTAACGAAGTACAGGTGAAGTACAAATGAAGTATGGTGAAGTACGAGTCAAGTAAGATAAAGTACAAATGAAGTACAGGTAAAGTACGATGAAGTACAAATGAAGTACGAGTGAAGTACGAATAAAGTATGCTGAAGTCAAATATGAATTTTGATAAATAAAAATTTTTTCTTTTGAAAATTCGTTGTAATGTAAAGTGTACTCTATAAAAATTTTCCTAATTTGAAATTCATTAATTTGAATTTTGACATCATAAAAATTCTTCAATAACATAAGTTTAGTTTGAAGAAAATAAATTAGGAAAAAAATATTTTTTTTCATTTATATTTACCATATTGAAGAAGAGACCAAAATGTGATGTTTCAACCGCATGATCGAAATCGGCGTCTTCTAAAATAATATTTGGCGATTTTCCGCCCAATTCAAGTGTCGTTCTCTTTAAATTACTCATTGCAGCGCCCTGCTTTACTAATTTCCCAACTTCCGTAGAGCCGGTAAAAGCCACCTTATCGACATTCATATGTTGCACTAAATGTGCACCGACTTTACCAAATCCAGGAACAACATTAACAACACCATCGGGAAATCCAACTTCTTTTGTCAATTGGGCAACATATAAAGCCGTCAGGGGTGTTTGTTCTGCTGGTTTTAAAATGACACAATTTCCTAAAATGTGAAATTAAATACAAAATTTATTCAATTTTACATCAAAAAGATCGCCATTAAAAATATTATATATAAGAATTCTCTTTTTTTCGCTAAAGATATGAAAAAGTGTCTTTTTACTATCTGTTTTGGTCCGAAAATTACATAACTAGATCTAATAAACATAGTTTGCAAAAATTTTTATTTTAAATAGTTTTAAAAAAAACAAAATTTTTATCTTATATTTTTATATTTATTTTATTTACATGTTTTTTTAAAATGTATTTTAATTTGCTTTTCAATGAATGAAGTAATAAAATCTTAGCGACTGGAAAATTGCTAAATTCGTCTTCAAGATTTATGTGTAATAAAATTTGTTAATAAAACATCAACATTTTTTTAAATATTATTGGCCGGGGTAAATAATTTAATTATTTTATATGTAGAAAAATCCTTTATTATATTTAAGTTATAAGCGATCGACCAAAACTTTGATAATTTTTTTTTTTAATTTCGAGTTTTTTTTTGTCCTCAACCTTTAATGTTGTATAAATTAATTTTTTATTTTTAAATTTTAATCTTGCAATTTTGGTAAAAAGCAAGTTCCAAAAACACATTTTTATATTTAAATAATCTATTACAATTTTTCTTTTTTAAAATTAGTTTAAGTCGTTATGTGACAAGTGATTTTAAATTATCTTTTCATAATAATTTCTTACTTTGTCATTTGAGACGAATATTAAATGGATTGATTCATGCAAAATGAAATATTTTTTTTTTCTGAGAATATATACGTAAAAGCGTACCTGTTGCTAAAGCTGGAGCAATTTTCCATGCCATCATTAATAGTGGAAAATTCCATGGGATTATTTGTCCACAAACACCAACTGGTTCATGTCTTGTGTATGCAAAAAATTTACCATCCATTGGAAGGACTTTGCCATGATTTTTGTCAGCATAACCAGCATAATATCTTAATGCGGCAATACTGCTTGGTACATCAAAACCGTAAGAAGATGCAAATGGTTTTCCATTATCCAATGTTTCCAACGACTAGAAAATGAAAATTCTTTATATTGTGTGTATAGTTGCATTATTTTTATTTAAATAACGTTTCAAAAAATACGAAGCTGAAGTACGTAATGTTTATGATAAACGATTTTTTGAAATGAAAAATTCTTTACCTCCATGAAGTTGGCGTCGACGCTCAGCGTCGAAAAATAATTTTTCATGGGACCAAAAATATCAAATCATTTTTAAAAAGGTTTTTGGGTCCACATAATACATTGAAAAGTATTCCTCAGAGGCATAATTTGGACCGAAAATCATAAAAAAAATAATTTGACATTTTTGATACTGTGAAAAATAATTTTTGGCGCTGAGCGTCGACGCCAACTTCATGGAGGTAATTTTATAATTTTTTGCCTAAAAAATATTTCTTTATAATTTGTTGATTGATGAAAACTACAAAAAATTATAGAATTTTTCATTTCAAAAAATTATTTCTTTTATCATAAACGTTGCGTACTTCAGCTTCATCAAAAAATTATATTTCAATGATAAATTAAGATTTGCATTCAGAAAACATATTGTAAACAATTATCAAATTTAATACAGATTTTTCTAACAGTGTCCCAAAAAGATTGATATTAAATATATTATTACCGCAATATAAGTTTTATCTCGTTCTATAAAATCTGCTAAACGATTTAAAAGTTTGCCTCTCATTGAGGCATCCATTGTTCTCCATGGTGAACCAAGTTTGAAAGCTTTTCTCGCAGCTTTCACAGCTATATCAATATCAGCAGTATCTCCTTCTTGAACATCTGCTATTACCTCCTCTGTGGTAGGATTCACTGTTTGAAAAGTTTTTCCAGATTGTGATTTGTGCCATTCATTATTTATAAAAATCTACAACACAATTTTTAACCCATTAAAATTAAGACATCAATTTTTTTTTTCTTTTTTTTGCATTAGCAGGCCTCGGATCGACTTTAAGGCGCAAAAAAGTCGATTTACAATTAAAAAAAATCGAAAAAGTCGATTTTTTTTTATTTTAATTGAATTCAGTTAGTTAATAAGTATTTTACTTTAAATAATATTAATGTTATTAAATATTAAATCCAGTTTATTAATTTCTCAATAAGAATAATTCAATAGAAATATTATCAAGAAAATTTATTTCGAATATTTCAGAACTAAAGACGTAAATTTAAAAAATTTTAATTAAGTAGGACAAATTTCTACATAAGAAAAATTCTGACAATTCAATTTTACAGTATTTATTTATCTATTATTTAAATAGAATTTTTAAAGAAATATTAAAATTATTAAAAATAATTGAATTTTGAAAGCGTTATAATTGAAATTTTTAGAAATAAATAAATTTCAAAAGATTTTGTTAAAATTCAGACAATAATTAAATTTTATAAAATTGAAAATAATTTATTAAATAATTTTAGATAACATTTTTTAAAAGCAATTGAATTTTCAAAGATTTACAATTCATATTTTTGAAATTAATTGAACTTCAAGTGACTTTGAATTAAAATGTTTGATAATTTCCGTCGATGAAGAATTTATCAGATATTACAGACAAAAATTGAATTTCAAAAGTTTTTAATTGAAAAATGCTTTCAAATAATTGAATTATTTAAAGAATATTATGAAAATCATGTAAAATCATTAAATTTTATAAAAGTTACAGTTTATGAAATTTTTAGAAATAATTAAATTTTAGAAGATTTTAAATTGAAATTTTTAAAAATAATTGAATTCAAGTGATTTTGAATAGAAATTTTTTGATGATTTCTGCTGCTGAAGAATTTATTAAAAATTAAAGATATAAAAATTGAACTTTAAAATTTTTTAATTGCAAAATGCTTTGAGATAATTGAATTTTCGAAGAATATTATAAAAATCATTCAAAATAATTGAATTTCTGAAGAAATATAATTGAAATTATTAAATTTCAAAAAGTTTTAGTTGGAAAATTTTAAAAATTAATTAAATTTTAAAATGTTTTAAATAGAAATTTTTGATAATTTTATTTGATTTATTTTTAAATTTTAGACAATTGATGAATTTTATACAATTTTTAATTGAAAAATAATTAAAAATAATTGAATTTGTAAAGAAATTCATTAAAATTATTAAAAATAATTAATTTAGAAAAAAATTTTAGTTAAAAATTTGTTAAATAATTGAAATAAAGAAGATCTGCATTGTATACTAAAAAAAGACGTTTAAAAATTTTATTAAAAAAGTCGAAAAAGTCGGAACTTATTTAACTAAATCGAAAATAGTCGTATTTTGGAAAAAAAGTCAGAAAATGTCGTAAAATCCCAGGCCTGCATTAGGTATTTATGGGATCTAAAATTATTATTTAATTTATTAAAAAATTTTTAAACCAAATTATTTTTAATTTACATTAGAATTTTTATTTTTTGAAAAAATTTAAATTTTTCAAAATTTATAACAGTTATTATTTAGATTATTTAGAATCATGAAAAAAGAGTAAAAAAAAAAAAAAATTAGTGATGAAAAATAAGAGAAATTATGCAAAAAGTTCAAATTTCTATTTTTTTTTTTTTTGAATTTTCGAATAAAAAAATATTTTTTTCAAATTTGTTATGATGTAGCATAATTTTAAATTCTCAATAATGTCGTCAATAGATTTTAATTAAATAATGTAAATTTTGATTAATTAAAATTTCATTGGATACAAAATTTAGATGTATTCAGCAAAAATAAAGCATATCTCATATGAAGAAAAAAAAATATACCTATTTCTATTTTTTTAATAAAGATCATGCCAACTGATCATGTCAAAATAAAATGATAATGATAATAATGCAAAATTCATAGAACTGATAGGAAAAAAAAGTATATGTAAATAAAAATAGTGCAATAGGTTTATAGGTTAGGAAATTTATATATTTTTTCGAAACATTTTTTTCTATTTGTAATTAATGCGTTCTTCATTTTAATTGAAAATTATATGATACTTTTATACATTAATGAATAATAATAATAATTTTACTTACCCCAGAATATAAAACCGGTGGATTTGTATCCGGAACCGGACCAACTTTAGTAGAAAATGTGCGTGTTAATTCTAAATTTCTTGTTAATAAACGAAGCATTTTATTAATTATTCTATCAACAGTCTTATTTCTATTTCCAATGTAATCTTTTAACTGCACAAATTTTAATAATCACAATACATATATGTATATATATATATCGAACCGAGTTTTCTTTCACAATCGCTCGTGGCAAACGCGCGATCGTTTGCTTTGATTGTCTGTCACTTTTATACAACCACAGTGATAAAATTCTCAACATGCGTATACATATCTCAACTTACGAAATGTGATTTCGAGTCAGCATAATTCAAAAGTACACGATATTCAAATTATATAATTATAAATAGATGAAAAATTAAACAAGAACTTTTACAAAATGGAAAAAAAATTCTTCTTTATTTGGATGATAACAAATAAATAAAATAATTTTTGAAACCTGTTTTTCTGGTAATTTAGATATAATTATTTTTCTTATCAGTTTTCACCGCAAATTGTTCTTTAAAAATAGTATAGTATCATGTTAATAAAGTTATAAATATCATATTTACAGGTACATAATAATAAGACATATATATGCGCTGAAAATTTTATTAATTAATTTATATAATATATATATGAAAAGACACAGATAATCAATATGAATATCTATTTTTAAAAACCAATTAGAATTATTTTAAACATTTTTGTAAAATTTATTTTGGGCAGCAGTTGACAAAAATAATTTTTATAACAATATGTTTAAAAAAAACACATCGTTTTAATACAAAATTTTTTTTTAATATTAAGCTTATTATATTTCATTTATTTGTAGTAAACTTAATATTTTTTTAAATTAATTTTCTCATAAATTACAATATTGTAATTTCCATTTTTTTTTAAATAGCGTGTCTACAACATTTTGAATTTTTAAAAAACAGAGATTTTTTGGAATTCTATTTTATACGCGTTTTCTGTTTGCTCTCGCGAATAATGAATTTTTATTTATGAGTCATCGAAATAGAAAAAATTTATTTTATTGAAATAATCCGGTTAAATTATTTACTGTTTTTATCAAATACTTAATATTTATGATGTATTCCACGCCACAGTGTAAGTCCATCTACAATTGCATCTCTGATTTTTTTTTCTTTTAGTACTAATTGATAGTTTCTCCATGAATTTAAAAAAATTTTTTTTGCAAGCCGTTTTCGAGTTATGGAATTTTGAAAATTGGAGAATTTTCATGACTTTTAATTTTTGAATGCTCATAATTTATTTAAAAATGCATCAATTTTAAAAGTCTTTTTTTCCAAAATGTGTGTTTTTAAACGTACTTTTCAAAAAAAAAAATCGAACATTTTTTTTAACGATATTACTATCAATTTTTTGAGTTTTAATGATAAAAAGTCATTTTTCTCATTTGACGTACTGATCGATTTTTTTCAAAATTTTTTCAAAAAAACAACTTCTTTTTACGAAACTTTTAAGCCTAGTCCGATAATTTACAATATTTTAGGAATTTTTCAAAAATTTTTGAATTTTGAATTTTTTTAAAAATATTTTCGGTTTTTTTTTTTTGCATTACGTATTTTGATGCGCTGATTACGAAAATCAGAGTGACAATGTCCAAAAATTTGATTTTTATGGTGAAAACCATAAAAAAAAGTCCCAAAATTTATGGTTTTTTTCGTTTATTAGGTAAAATATGCTAAATTAAAAAAATTGCATCGGATATAAAAAATGTATTTTAATAAGATCTATAACTTTTGTTGAGAAAATCAAATTTTTGGGTATTGTCACTATGATTTTCGTAATCAGCGCATCAAAATACATAAAAGTACGTAGTATAAAAAAAAACCAAAAATATTTTTAAAAAATTCAAAATTCAAAAATTTTTGAAAAATTCCTAAAATATTGTAAAAATTGTTTGCCCATTATCGGGCTAGGCTTTAAAATTTCGTAAAAAGAAGTAGTTTTTTTGAAAAAATTTTGAAAAAAACCGATTAGTACGTCAAATGAGAAAAATGACTTTTTATCATTAAAACTCAAAAATATAATAGTAATATCGTTTAAAAAAAAATTTCGATTTTTTTTTTTAAAAGTTCGTTTAAAAACACACATTTTGAAAAAAACGGAAAAAAAGACTTAAAAATTAGTATACTAAAAGAAAAAAAAATCGGAGAAGCAATTGTAGATGGGCTAACACTTTGGCGTGGAATACATTAAATACAAAAATTAGTGCTTCGAATAAAAATTATTTAATTCACATAAAAATTAATTGATTTAAATAAATTTGTTTTGTTTAATTATTTAATAAATATTTCTTATTTTTTATTAATAAAATAAATATTAAGCTGGATAAAAAATAATTTACTTTTATTATACTTGGCACAACTCTATATTTAAAAAAAAATAAATAAATAAAAATTTTCTAATGAATCTTTTTTGTAAAAATTTATGTCTATTTTATAAATTCTCGAATAACTTTTCATTCTAATATGGAAAATCTTAAAAACTCAGGGAATATTTTTCTTAATTAGTAGTAGACACTTTTTTGTTTATATTTTAAATCATTACAATAAGAATTGTAAAAAATTACATAGATTTATCGACACATTTACATAGAATTAAAATACTGTATATACAATTGGATTTTCGTTTTTATAATAATTATCTCATTTTTTTTCATTCTGCATAGATATATAGACAAGATAGCTTATCGCTGTCAAATAATAATTTATATTATTATTTGATAGCGATTATTATTATTATTATTATTATTATTATTGATAGTAATAATAATCAAAATCAATACTTTGATTTTATCATTTTTTTAAATAATAAAGAATTCTGGCTGTTCAATGAACAATTTGTTTCTATATATAATACTTAAAGTAAATATAATATTATTTTCTGCTTTTTTTTATATAAAAAAGACGTAGAAACTTTTGTCTGTAATAAATAATTGGAAATTTTTTAAAATTACTAAACAATGGTTTCTCTAGCTTATTCTCTAATCTTAGACAAAAATTTGTTTTCTTACATTTCACGATGCTTCAATTCATTTAAACAATTAATTATTAGTTAGAAATAATTAATTCTAACACGGTTTTCTAATAGTCAGTAAAACGTTATAAAATTGATTTTAATCAAAAAAAAAAAAATTACAAAATATTTTCATAATAAAAATACAATTAAAATTTTCATAAGTTAATTGTTGAAAAATAAAAAATTTGGTTATTCATTAGACATTTTGTTTAAAAATTAATAATTAATTGACTAAAATCAATATTTTTATCAATTAATCGACTAGACGATAATATTAATTTATACATCAATCTTTGCAGAGGTAAATATTATTCTTTAAAAAATACATGTACATATTTTCGTCAAAATTAAATGTAAAAAAAAATTTAATTTTTTTAAATCTATAAAGGTTTTTTTTTGATTTATAAAAGAGTTTGTGATTTCAATACACAAAAAATTTGAAAGAAAAAATTAATACCTACACACCGGTTTCTGAAAGAGTTAATAAATATTTCCACATAAAAATTTGATATCAAAAAACATTTTCAAGCAGTGCATGTAAAAATGCTATAAGTAATGACTTTTATATATACCTATATATATATAAGATTCTTACGATAAAAATATTGTAGGAAAAATAGTTTTTTAAAAGATATTTTTAAAGATACACTTTTTAAAAAGCGAGTCTTACTTTTTCCACAATATTTTTATAAATATATAGAAATGAATAAATTATTTCTCCTCCATATTTTGAATTAAATTATTTGACTTTTCTTCTTGAGGCACCGAGTTTTTTCAATCTCGTATTCCTCATATGTTTCATCATAGTATACATACCGGGTAAACACAAAACAAGAAGATAAATTCTCAATACACTTGGAAAATGAAAAGCAAAATTCCAACTATTTGGCATGGAGACGGTGAATTTTAATGTTTCCTCAAAATATGGAATATTACGAAGAATAATAATACTTTCACAAAGAAAACCAAGTGGATAAAGCGGTATCCACATTGTATATCTCATCCATGTTAAAATTGTTATTTCAACATTTAACAATTGACTCAAATAATATGGATATCGAACAATTTCAATAACTGACCATACAACGAAAACATAAAAAACAACGGGTTTAGTTTGCATTCTTGGCTCGGCCTCTATCATACAAAAAAGAACAAATGTACGACCTGATATTTGCAGAAATGGTATAAATGCATTTCCCTTTACGTAACCAAATATTGGATGCATCACTTCTAGATATTGGAGAATTTGCACAAATTTCATTATACTTCCCACTATTTGATATGTGTCTTTCATTGAATCTGAAAGTTTATTTATTTTTTTTTAAATTCTTTTTTTCATTCAATCTAATTACAAATTTCTAAAACTGATCTTTAGGGTAGCCACTAATTTTTAAAAATTTTGTCTCCCGGTAAAAATGAGCGATTTTTTCTTAAGTTATAATTTAATTGTGAACAAAACATTACTTTTATGTAATATGCAGTTGTAAATGATATAAATTGGTTCAAAAACACTATGAAAATTAATATATTTTGATTTGAAAAATCTGTTTCAAAATTATCGTTTTATCCTTCAAAAAAGATCTTGATGATTTTTTCAAATTCTTTCATCAAGTCACATTTACGAAATATAAATTTTTCAAAATAGTGGAGAATTTAAATAATTTTTTATTTTTGAATTCTCAGAACTTCCTTAAAAATGCATCAATTTTCAAAGGTTTTTTTTTTCAAAATTTGTGTTTTTAACTCAATTTTTCAAAAATTTCATGCAAAAATTTATACAATTAAATTTTACTATATTTTTTGTAATTTAAAATTTAAAATCTTGTTTTTAAAACTGTTTGTATATTCTTCGATTTTTTTAAATTTTCAAAAAAACTACTTCCTTTTAAAAAAATTTTAAACCTGGTTTGGTCATGGGAAAACAAATTTTTCAATATTTTCGGAATTTTTTAAAATTTTCGAAATTTTGCATTTTTTAAAAAATATTTTCGGTTTTTTTTTTGCATTACGTATTTTGATGCGCTGATTATGAAAATCAGAGTGACAATATCCAAAAATTTGATTTTTATGCTAAAAACCATAAAAAAAAGTCCTAAATTTTTTATTTATTGGGTAAAAAATATGCAAAATTTTCAAAAAGTGCATAAGATATAAAAAAATGTATTTCAATTCAAAATTTCGAAAGTTTTAAAAAATTCCGAAAATATTGAATAAATCATTTTCCGACGACCAGAGCAGGCTTAGAATTTTTGTAAAAGGAAGTAGTTTTTTTTAAATTAAAAAAAAAGAAATGGAAAAATGCAAACAATTTTAAAAACAATATTTTAACGTTTAAATTACAAAAAATATAGTAAATTTTAATTGTATAAATTTTTGCATGAAATTGTTGAAAAGTTCAGTTAAAAACACACATTTTGAAAACAAAAAAACTTAAAATTGATACATTTATAAGAAAGTTTGAAGAGCATTCAAAAAAGGAAAGATCATTAAAATTCTTAAATTTTGAAAAATTCATATCTCGTAAACAGCTTGATGAAAAAATTTGAAAAAATCTCTCGATGTAAAATTTCATTCCCGCTTTTTTCTCGGTTCTCCCGGTTAGGTGGCAAACCTGATCTTTTAAAAAAGTCAATCCATTATATTTCATTTAAAGTCGTTGCGACCTATTTTTAGAAAAATTTTCTATAATTCTTAATTATTGTTCATATAGGTACAATTCATTTTTTTACAATTATTTAATGTTATGTGATTTTTGATTTCACATGTAAATATTCTCCTTAGGTTTTCTCGCAAAATTCTTGAACGATTGATCTAAAATTTTGTAGAGAACTCAAAAATAGTACAAAGACTCGTTTTTATGTATAAGAGTATTAATATTTTGTTAAAAAAAAATCTTTATACCTATTTTTAAATTCTCCACAAAGTTTTAGATCAAATTATCAAGTAATTTACGAGAAAAACCTACGGAGAATATTTATATCTGAAATCAAAACAATCACATGACCTTAATACAATTTTTATACCTTGGAATTAAAATTTTTAAGATCATAATTAAAGAGAAAAAAATGTTCAATTTCTTCAATTTTTGCAAAAACTTTTGGTGAATTATAATGTATTAATAGAAAAAATTACAATTTTTTTTGTAACTGTTTTTAAAATTAATTAATTACTTACTTAATTTAATTAAAAATTTACAGTACCGTCAACCGGAGCTAATATGGTACACGTTAATTTTTAATTTGGAAAAAAATCATTTCGAAATCTTCAAATTTGACACCTAGCTGTCATTGTAGTGTAAGATTTTGTCAACAAAGTAAAACTATAGTGTTTTTAGTAAATTTGCTTTTAGAAATTAGAATTATCGTAAAAAAAACGATTTTAAGACACTTAAAATTTTTTAAATATTTGTAATAAACTTACAGTTCCTGAGGATGACGGTTTTGCCATTAAAACAAAAAAAATTGTGTTTTTATTTAATTTTTTTCAATTTGACTCGGAGTGATTGATACCATTATTATTGTAATTATAAAACAAAAAAAAATTGCAATTTTTGTACCATAATAACCCCTCGTTAACGGTAATTAATTAAATGAACAATTTAACATATTTTCACTAACCTGGACCATCACGTGAATATTTTATACCCATCACAGAAAGAATATAAAAATATCCAATAAATTGACTTAGATTATAAAATATAAGATAAACCTTCTTATAATCCTCTGTAAAAAAGAAAATTAGTTTTTTGTATGAAAAAAAATATTTTCATTAGTTCCCAAAAGCATCCCATCAAAAAAATTGAAAAATAAAAAAAGAAACTTCCCAATTTTTTTTTTTTTGCAGAATCTAAGACTTTTGTTTGTACATTGTTTATAATTTAAATTTTGTTTGAACTACAATTCCTTTGTATTTGGTAAAAAAAATACATTGAAAGTTATTTTATTTATTTATTTATTTATGTTTAATACGTAAACATTATTTTGTTTTGAAAAAAAAAATTATTTTTTCTTAATGTTTTAAAAAAATATGTAATTAAATGGTGTTTATTTTTCTTTTCTAGTTATTATAATTTTTAATTTAACTTTGGAACAAAATTTCTTCTACGAATTGAAAAAAAAAATTTGTTGTTAAAATGACTAATAATTAAAATTCAGTTTTAGTCAATTTAAAATCCAAAAAAGTCGATTTTTTTTATTTTGATAAAATTTAATTAGTTATTAAGTATTTTACTTTAAATAATTAATGTTATTAGATATTAAATCCATTTTATTAATTACTTAATAAGAATAATTTTATAGGAATATTATAAAGAAAATTTATTTCGAATATTTCAGAATCGAAGACGTAAATTTTTAAAATTTTAATTAAGTAGAACAAATTTCTAAAAATGAGCCAAAAGTTTTGAACGTTCAAATGAACGAAATTTTTTTTGCAACTTCTTTAAGTACGAATTTTACTACAAAATGTTGTTTTAAATATCTAAAAAGAAGTTATTTAATTTAATAATTGTTTAATTTACTGTTTTATTTTACATTGACATCATAATTTTTAATAATTTATGGATTGAAAAAAATATTTCGTTCATTTGAACGTTCAAAACTTTTGGCTCATTTCTAAAAAAAAAAAATAATAAATAAAATAAAAATTCTGATAACAATTCAATTTTAGAGTTTTTTTTGAAACTTTTTTAAATAATTTAATTTTTAAAGATTTATGAATCAGATTTTTGAAATTAATTGATATTTAAGGGATTTATAATTGAAATTTTTTGTGATTAAGAATTTATTAGAAATTACAGATAAAAATTGAATTCCAAAAGTTTTCAATTGAAAAATGCTTTCAAATAATTGAATTTTTGAAGAATATTATAATTAAAATCACTAAATTTTGGAAGAGTTACAGTTGATGACATTTTTAGAAATAATTAAATTTTAGAAGGTTTTAAATTGAATTTTTTGAAAATAATTGAATTCAAGTGATTTTGAATTGAAATTTTTTGTTGATTTCTGTTATTGAAGAATTTATTAAAATTTAAAGAAAAAAATTGAACTTAAAAAATTTTTTAATTAAAAAAAGCTTTCAGATAATTAAATTTTTGAAGAATATTATAAAAATCATTAAAAAGAATTAAATTACAAAAGAATTATAATTGAAATTATTAAATTTCAAAAAGTTTTAGATGGAAAATTTTAAAAGGTTTTAAAATTGAAATTTTTGATAATTTGATTTGTTTTTTAATTTGTAAGCAATTGTTGAATTTCATAAAATTTTTAATTGAAAAATAATTTAATATAAGGTAAATGCCCCAGTCTTCGTCACTTCCTTAGTTACCGTCACTTTCATTGAAAATTACAAAAATTATTTTCTAAAACAAATAAAGATTATGTTTTTTCGATTTTAAATAATTATTTTTATACAAATAATAAATTATAATAATAATTTTTTCAATACATTGCTTAAAATTCTCAAATTACTTATGTGATGATTACTGAAGCAAAGGTGACGGTAACTAGAGCATTTACCTTAATTGAATTTGTGAAGAATTTCATTAAAATTATTAAAAATAATTAATTTAGAAAAAATTTTTAGTTAAAAATGTGTTAAATAATTAAAATAAAGAAGATCTGAACAAGATCTAAACAACATCTGTATTGTATACTAAAAAAGACGTATTTCGTTTAAAAATTTTGTAAAAAAAAAATGTAAAAAAAGTCGAAAAAGTCGTATCTTATTTAAATAAGTCGAAAAAATTCGTATAATCCAAGGTCTGTATAAATTATAATTTATAAAATTAATTTAATTCAGTAAAGTTAAGATTTTTAATTATGTAAAAAAAAATTCAATTTTTAACAATGTACAGACAAAATGAGCCAAAAGTTTTGAACGTTCATATGAACGAAATTTGTTTTGCTACTTCCTTAAGTACGAATTTTATTACAAAATATTGTTTAAAATATCTAAAAAGAAGATATTAATTTAATAATTGTTTAATTTACAGTTTTATTTTACATGGTCATCATAATTTTTAATAATTTATAGATTGAAAAAAATATTTCGTTCATTTGAAAGTTCAGAACTTTCGGCTCATCAGACAAAAGTCTTATTTTATTGATTGTTTATATTACCTCGTCTGTAGCCAAATTCCTCTTTGTGTAATTTGTCATACATATCGGGATAATCTTGTTGAACGTCACGTTTCTCATCGTCATTATCGTCAATATCTTCTGTTTTCCATTTATCAAAATCAATTTTTAACCATGATGGTTTTTGCGGTTGGCTAGTTAATCGTGGCCACCAACCATTTGTTTCTTTTATCAAGACAAAGTCAACTTGTCGATCAATAACTTTATAGTTGCTTTCCTGAAAAATTGTGAATCCATTATATTTTACCTAAAGTCGTTGAGGCCAATTTTTTGAAAAATCTTATAATTCCTAATAATCATTTTTTTTATATTCGTGCAATTTTATAAATACTTAATAAAATTTTATATATATATTTTTCTTGGAATTTGAATTTTTAAAATAATTTTCACAGAAGAAAAGATTCATTTAACAGCTGTAAAAAGTAATTTTAAAAAAAAGAAATACCTTATACATATAATAAAAAATTATTTACTAATTTTCTAAAAAAAAATTTAATGGAAATGTGTCAAATTTTGTCATTTTATAGGTAAGTTTAAAATAATAATAACTTCTTCCAAGAAAAACGAAAAAATCTAGTTATTTTTTTAATACTATATATAAAGAAATACTAATATTAAATAAATAAATACCTCAGGATTGATAGCTGAATGAAAATCGAGACTAAAACCATAATCGTTAGGACCCCTTGCACCTCGTCCATGAGCAAAAAATTTCAATCTTTTTTCCTCAATTTCAACATTAACATTCTGAAAATTATGCATTTTTTTTTAATATTATAGTTGCAATAAAAAAAAGGTAGATATAAAATTACATTGATTATTTTTCGTACCAAAGATGGTATTTTTATTTATATATTAAAGAATGAATTTTTATATTATAGAAATTTTTTTTTTTATATCTCACTATTAAAAAAAAAAAAAAATTAACTTACCCTTGCATTGTTAAGGTCGATTTTAAGCGAAATATGTTCTGATGTTTGGGCCCAAAATACAAATGGACTAAAACACTCGGGCATTGTTTACAAAACTATTAAAAACAAATAATAAAATTTAAACCAGCTAAACTGTGAGAACAATTGCTTACAAAAGATAAAAAAAGAAATAAGTATAGTGAATATTTATTTTTTTCTTTTTAAAATTCAAAGTTAAAATCTATTTAAATAAAAAATTGCAAGTAAAATTGTGATATAACTGTTTTCTCTACAGTAAAAAATTTAATTAAAAAAACATTATTAATTTCGAGGTTAAAAGAGTTTTGACTTTTAAAGGCAGAGATGGGTAACTGGGCTTTCAACTCTGGCACCGAACCCTCAAATGTATCATTGGACAAGAGGGTTGGGAACATATAAAGGTGTTTCTACAATAACTTTATTGAGTTCAAGAAAATTACATTGTTATTTTAACAATGCAATGTTTTTTTTTTTTATTATTTTAGTAAATACAAAAAAAACATTTATTTTTATTCGACCTGGAGACGATCAAAATCATTACACAATGCAATTAACGTTCGATAAAAAAATATATTGTTTAATGTTATTTATAAAAAAAAGAAATAAAAAAATAAACCAATTCCCTACTAAAAGAAAGGGCTCAAAATGGAGTCCATTTTTTTTTTAGAACAAAATCAAACCCAAATCTATAATAAATTTTAATTATTAACATTGTAAAACTTTTAAGGAATAAAATTTTAGATTAAAACTATAATCCTATAACAATAAATATTCTTTTGTAAACTAAGATTAGTTACAACGGGCATGATTTAAATTCGGACTCAAAACGATTCGAAACTGTTTACAGTACTTTTTGAGTCCGTTCTTCTAATAGTTTTTTATTTATAAATTTGCAAAAATTTTAAAATAATTTTCGTGCCTTTGAGGGAGAGTCCAGAATAAGTGGTTTCTGAACGTCGACGTATCATTCTGTCTTTGTCTCTCCCATTGATGTCCCATAAGACAGACGCGTTGCTATCAACGCGTCGACGTTCAGAAACCCGTATTCTGGACTCTCCTTGAAAAATTAATATCATCAGCTGTGACGTTAAGCAAAATATTTTGATATAAATCTGTGCCAGATTCCCATAAAATTAATCCCCAGGATGATAATTTTCGACAAATCTCCAGAGTTGGCGTTATTTTTGGAACTTCTTCACCTGAAAATTGTCAATAAATATAAAATATAATTCATTACAAAACGCACAATACAACTAAGGGTACGGTCACACGACTTTTGGAAAAACCATTCTTGTCTTTCTCCTATTACAGACGCATAAGTTTGTCTCACTCTGCATTTTCCGTCTTTGGGAAATGTAAGAAAATGCAGAGTGAGACAATCTTATGCCTCTGTCTTAGGAGAGAGAAAGACATGAATGGTTTTTCCAAAAGTCGTGTGACCGTACCTTAATAGAGGCTTAAGAATATGTGGGCAAAGGACGTTTTTTTGTGGTTTGAAACTTTCTCTGAAATAAAAAATGATTTCGGGTTAAAATTTTGGAAAAATGATTTAGTTTGGTACAAGAAATCTCGCTATTCTTCTCATTTACTATAACTTAACGCGAAAATAATAAAAATAAAGCAATAAATAGTAAAATAATGTGTTTTATCAAAGTTCATTCAGCGGCCACTCGCTCAAATTGGCGCTGTTTACTGGAATACTGACACACTCAAGCAACGTTGGTGTATGCGCCGCCATGTTTGTTTTCATTTTCACGTGGGAGGTTCTTTAAGGAAGTTCTCTCCCTCCAACGTCAGTCAAATCAATGCCCATTTAAGTTTTCATTTGTATCACGTAGTACTAGCTCAACGCTTGACAACGTTGGATTATATTTCCCTCGTTCCGTTTCGTGTCGTCTGCTATTGTTTGATTTATTTTCGTTAAATAATAATAATAATAATAATTTATTATTTTAAAAATCTTAATTTTTTATAAGCAAATTCAAATTATTATTCATTATTATGAATCTTTGAAGAATATACTATTATATGTATATACTACTTATATTACTTTCAAATTTCGCGCTTTTTCTATACCTAACCTACAAGACGCAACGTTGCCAAGCGTTGTGCTAAGTAATTTCTGATTGTCAAAATACGGTGTTTTTTTAGACAAAATAATTAATTGTGAGCCTCCTAAGCCAGGTCTGATCAATTTTATTAAAAGTAAGTGAACATTGGCTATTAAACTTTATGTATATAAAGTTCCAGTAATATCTTTTCGTCAGATTTTTCACAATTTGAGATTTCAGACCAAAAAATTCAATTTCCCATAAGAACCCGTGTTAAATGTGAAAAGAGAAAATTATTTATATCTTTTGTCAAAATCCACCTAGACCTCTAAAAATTTAACTACATCTTCTTTAAACCATTATCTATCAGTTTATCAAGTTTGATAATTAACTCTTCGTCATTTCTGTTTGCGAGAGAACTTCCTTAAAAAAGAGACCTTCAATTATCGCTCTATAAGAACAGCACTGAACGTGAAAATGATAAATAAAACCTTTTTAAGGCCTTTCTCCAATAGGATCCTAAACTCTTGCGTTGCGTATGCATTGCGTCGGTTGCTATTGGCAACCAATGCTAAAATCAACGCGTCAGTCACACAACGCAAAAGTTGAAGGCCTTTCTCCAATAGGAACCTAAACTTTTGCGTTGCGTAACTGACGCGTTGATTTTAGCATTGGTTGCCAATAGCAACCGACGCAATGCATACGCAACGCAAGAGTTTAGGATCCTATTGGAGAAAGGCCTTTAGGGTTCCGTACACCTTCGGTGTACCGACTACGGAAGCGCCTACGAGTCACCAGCGAACTGTCTTGTTCGCGTCACATTTTTAGCTGTGAAACCGAGGAACGCGTTCGATGGTTTCGCTGTTTCCTTGTTTTTGAGTGACGATAAAACACACTATACGGTTCGATAGTTCGATGGTTCTCTGGTTTTACTTAGTTCTATCGTTATCGAAGTCTAAATTTTGTATTAAAAAAATAAATTTAAATTTAAAAACCGAAATATAATAATATATATTTAAATTATATATTTGAGATATATCAGATATCTTATAATGTGTGCCTAAAAAATTATTTTATTTAAAAATAATAGTACAAAATATTAATAGTATAGTACAAATATAAAATGCAAACAAATCAACTTACTTCAAAATAATATTTTGTACTATTATTTTTAAATAAAATAATTTTTTAGGCACACATTATAAGATATCTGATATATCTCAAATATATAATTTAAATATATTATTATATTTCGGTTTTTAAATTTAAATTTATTTTTTTAATACAAAATTTAGACTTCGATAACGATAGAACTAAGTAAAACCAGAGAACCATCGAACTATCGAATCGTACAGTGTGTTTTATCGTCACTCAAAAACAAGGAAACAGCGAAACCATCAAACGCGTTCCTCGGTTTCACAGCTAAAAATGTGACGCGAACAAGATAGTTCGCTGGTGGCTTGTAGGCGCTTCCGTAACCGACGGAACCCATATAAAGTCGGTTCTACAATGGGCACGTCGCGTACCATGGATTGTAGAGCCGACTTGAAAAGACTCTTGCGTCCGTCCCAGCTTTGTGTCCCCACCCTTAACTTTTACATTTTTGTATATGAAGAACTGCAATTTAGTACACATACGTATTTTTACGTGTAGATTTGAGGAAAAATATAGCAAGACCGATTGGATTTGATGGATACGAGCTAGAAAGTAAAGAAATCGGTTTTTTTCGAAAAAATTGCAAAAAATGACCATGTTCCCCCCTTAACTTCTACATTTTTGTATATGAAAAACTACAATTTAGTACACATACGTATTTTCACGTGTAGATTATTGGAAAAATATAGTGAGACCGATTGGATTTGATGGCTACGACCTAGAAAGGAAAGAAATAAGTTTTTTTCGAAAAAATTGCACAAAATGACCCTGTTCAGTTATTTATATTTTATTTCTATATAAAAAGAGGTTATTATTGTCGGTGTACGGAACCCTCGAATTAGTGCGACTGCAACTCGCACTTGTCCGATTTTTTTTTGAAACATGAACACTTTTTATAAAATCGGCCAACATACCAAGAATTCTCATCTTATAAATGTTCTTAATCCAAAATATTGTCCGAATCCATGCAAAAACGCGATCGTAAAATTGAAAATAAGAAATCGCAGCTTTCATTATTTATTATTTTTCTATTTCCAATTTTGCAATCGCGTTCTTTCATGGATTCGGACAATATTTTGGATTTAGAAAATTTATAAGATGAGAATTCTTGGTATGTTGGCCGATTTCACAAAAAGTGTCCATGTTTTGAGAAAAAATTGTTTTAAAAACAATGTTTATCATTTTCACGTTCAGTGTCGTTTTTAACAGGCGATAATTAAAGGTCTCTCTTTGCCTAAAGAATTTCAGAGACCGTTAAATATTTCTTAATAAAATTGTTCTTTTATCAAATTTCTATTTACCCAATTATTTACTTGAGAATATTTTCATTAACTAAATTCACGTTTATCATAATTTTTATTTAACAAAATTTGGTTTTTGATTTTAAAACTCGCGCTGGAATGTTTCAAATAGGTGCATGATCTTATATGTGAAAGTTCTAACAAATGGAAATTTGAAATTTTAAGGGGATTTTCTTTCAATGTTTCAATTGCTAAAGTTTGAACAAATAAAAATTCAGCCAAGTAAAATTTTTGTTAAATAAAAATAAGTTCAAATATAAATTTTGTTTAATAAAAGTCTTGTCAAATAGAAATTATGTTAAAAATGAATCGAGTTAATAAAAATACTGACAAAAAATAAAAATTCTATAATTTTTTTAATCCACAAACATTCCGACAGGTCTAATGTGGGGAATATTTTGAGAATTTAAATGAAAATTATAAATTTAAAAATGAAAAATTATAGAAATAAATAAAAATTGAAAATTATTATAAATTATAAATATTTGTTAACCTTCAAGAATGCATATAGTTTCAAATTGTGTGTAAACATTTTGAAAGGTAACTTGTTCAATTCCAGTTCGTGTTATCTCTTGGGAAATTGCTTCCAATAGTATTATTTCCATCATTGAACAACACTTGATAGCTTGCACTCGTGAATTTGTTATCATTTCGTTCAAAGCGAATGTTACATCCAACATTTTAACGAAGTCTCTATTATTGTCACATTCTGCAATTTCCGTTGCTCGACGACAAATATCCAAAGCTCTTCGTGCATCGCCGTAAAATGAAGCTACTTTTCTATTTTTAAAATAAAAAAAAAAAAAATTTTTAGGGCACATGAATTATCCATAATAATCATTAGTGATTCGAATTTTTAAATACAAAAATTTACAATTCACCGCGAATATTCATTTGTCCGAAATTCGAAAAACAATCGAAAAAAAGATTTCGTCGCAAATTTAAAAATTAGCCAATCAAAGATTATCAAGAAAATTGTGATTGCGGTTGAATTTTTAAATTCGCGACGAAATCTTTCTTTCAATTGTTTTTCGGTCATTTGGAATTTCGGACAAATGGAAACGCGACGTTTTTAAACTTCTATCAAATAACAATTAGTGGAAATAAAAATTCATCGAATTGGAAATTTTCGCATTTAAAAATTCAAATCCTATAAAATTCTGTTAATCTGTTTTATTTTAATTCATTTAAAAATTGATGAGATGTAAATTTTATAAAAAAAAAAAATTAATTTAAATACAAACATACCTGGCAACAAGTTCAATAGCTTCTAGATTAAAGTCCTTCATATCATTTAGTCTAGTTTTTATGATTTCCATTAATTGAATGTGATTATAAGAATTGAATATTAATCTGGTCAATCCTAAACGAGAGGTGATACGTTTCATTAAAACTCTCTCCGGCAAATCCATTGCGTTGGCAATTGTTATCACAATCAATTGAGAAGTTTTGTGCGTTGGCCAATCCAGAAGATTATAAATCACATCCTGACGTTTAGTGCACAATAGATCCATCTACGGATTTCAACAATTTATAATAAATCAATAGAAAATTTTTGTATACTTAATCATTAAGTTTTTTAAAAACAAAGTTGCAAAACTTTTACTTAAAAACAAAGTTAATTATTTTTTTTTGAAAATAATTAATATATACCGTATAATTAAATATAATTTTTTTTTATTAAAATTAAATAAACAAAAACTATTTGTTAAAAAATAAAAATAATTTTCATAGAAAACACCCTTTAGGAAAATAATAATAAAAAAAATAATTATTTTTTCAATTTAAAAAATTTTTTTTTTTCTAAAAAGTAAAAAAAATTTGCTATGTAAACAAAATTAACAAGGAGGGGGTCCTTTATGTTTATTTCATAAACATTATGCTTCCTCATTGTGTGAAGCAAAAAATTCGCTTCCTCGTGAAGGACGCAATAAGTTTGTCCAATTCAATTGATTGATTTAAAAAATTTCGAGTTAAAAATGTTTTAAATTAATTAAATTTTTTGAAAAATAAAGAAAATTTTAATTAATTTTGAGTGTAACATAAACTTTATATATACGAATCGATTCGTTTTAATGAAAGGAATACAATTATTTTATTCATCAACTTGAATTTTAAAAAAACACAAAATTTTTTAGCTAAAATATGAATTTTCGATTTTTCAATTTTTATTAATTCTCAAATTTTAAATCAAATCTATACTTTATATATTCCAACCAATTCGTTTCAATGCAGGGAATAAAATTACTTCATATATAAACATGAATTGAAAAAAAACACATCATTTTTTAGCTAAAATGAGAATTTTTGATTTTTTAACTTTCATTAATTCTTTAAATTTCAATCAAATCTATACTTTATATATATCAATCGATTCATCTTGACATAAAGAAGACGATTATATTATATATTACCTTAAATTTTTCGATTTAAAAATTTTTTTAATTAAAAAAAAATTTTTGGAAAAAAAATGATAAAATTTTTTTTTTTTGGGGTATTTTTAAAAACCCTCTCGTCATTTTTGAGAGATTAATGTGTTAAATAAGCCTACCAAATTTTACGAGGAAGCAAAAAATAATTATTTTTTCAATTTAAAAAAAATTTGCAAAGTAAACAAAATTAATAAAAATCGATCAATTATGAATATATTAACCTCATCAATAAGCAACAAAGTCATATTTTTACAAACTACAGATTTTGTGAATCTATGATGAAGATAACGTAAAGATTCTCCCCATGAACTTGCGGTTTTAGTTAATTGCTTTTTAATTTGCACGTAGGCTTGACGTGGTTCGGTCAATTTCATTCCATTGATATCAACAAATTCAAATGGTGACAATTCACCCTTTGATACTAATTTTTTCAAACACAATATCACTTCATTAACGGTAGCAGTTTTTCCCGTGCCAGGTACTCCACTGATGTAAATGCATCTAAAAAAAAATTAAACAGTCATTTAATAAATAAATTAATTGTAATAAAAATAAATTAATACACTGAAAAAAAAATAATTTCATTCAAATAATCGGTTACTTGACTATTACCAAATAAATATTTATTTGTATCAAATAATTATTATTTGAGTCAATTAAATGTTATTTGTGTTTCAGATACAAAAATTATTGGTTCAAATACAATTTATTTAATTGAAATAAAATTTTTTTGATTCAAGTAAATATTTATTCGATAATAGTCAAGTAATCGAGTACTTGAATGCAATAAAACTTTTTTTTAGTGTACATATATCTTTTAAATTAAAATTCTTTTTTAGGAAAATTTTTTCTAATTATGAATTCTGTTAATTCGAAATTGCATTAGATAAAAATTCAATGAACTGGAGAATTTGTTATTTAAAAATTCAGTTCAATAAAAAATTATGTTAATTAAAAATTATTTGACATGAAAATTTTGGTTCAATAATAATTATTAATTTTATAAGTTCAGTGCGTAGGAAATATTTATTCGTTCCCAAAAAAAATGAGATAATTTTAAGTCAAAAATTGCATTATTAAAATTTTAAATATAAAAGTCACTTTAAGGGGGGACCGTTGAAATTTCAACCTTTCTAAATTAAGGCTGTTTAATGTTGTCAATTTTTTTTTTTTTGTCAATATTGAGTATTTCAAACTGTAATATACTATGGGAAATTGAAAAACAATTAATTCATTAATAATTTTTTAAGGGGACTTTCTGGTTTAGAATTTCAAAAAAATCGATTTTTTTTTTTGCTTAAAAATGTTCCATAGTATCATAGAATTACTGTCCCAAAACGTTTTTTAAAAAATATGTACAAAAACAAAAGTTATAACAATATTTATGACGGTATGTATTTCAACAACAATCTACAGTTATCTTATTTACATATTTGGTGTTCCTCTTTTATTGATATTAGCTTGAAACATGTTACTCGAGGGTTTTTGGGGTCGCTGATTACGAATTTGATGTCAGTTTTTGAAAATACAAAATGGCGGATCCAATATGGCGGACGAAAAAATAAAAATTCAACCGGATTTGCTTAAAACTTGTTACTCGGGGGTTTTTGGGGTCGCTGATTACGAATTTGATGTCAGTTTTTGAAAATACAAAATGGCGAATCTAATATGGCGGACAAAGATTAAGAAATTAATTAAATTTAGTTGAAAATGGTTACTTGTGGCCTTTTGAGATTGCTAGTTATGAATATAGGCACAAAACATTATCGTTCTAGGAACATCAAATTCGTAATCAGCGACCCCAAAAACCCCCGAGTAACAAGTTTTAAGCAAATTCGGTTGATTTTTTATTTTTTCGTCCGCCATATTGGATCCGCCATTTTGAATTTTCAAAAACGGACATCAAATTCGTAATCAGCGACCCTAAAAACAGCGGGATACGAAGTTCTGTTGTAATAAAAAGTTGTTTGATATTCATGACTCAATGAACTATGTTATAAAAACTTTGAACGCGTTTTTCTCGAAAACTCATTTTTCAAACTGGTACAGAGCTTTTCTCGAAATCTACCAAAACGATTTTGAAATCCCAAAAATTTTTCGATTCTTTATTTAAAAAACTGGGGCCTAAACCTCTAAAAACTCATATTTCTACCCCCTGTGTTTTTATATGGAGGTAAATTGACCCAAAAACACGGCGTTTTTGTGAGTTTTTGAGAAAAATGTACATAAAAAATAAAAAAACCTTTAAAAAAATCGTTTTTGAGGTTTAGGCCCAAGAATAAATCCTTATGAAGAGATTCCCGTTTGGAACTTGAATTTATGTATTACAGGTTGCCCGGAAACTAACGTACCAAAAAAAAGGTATCTTTTGGAAGACGCCACCTACAGCTATGAAATTGAACTAAATACACTCAAACATATTTTTTAAATTTTCTCTACGCAATGTGCTACAATGTCCAAAAATAATTTTTACAATTTCTTTAATACTGTTCTTACAATAAAAGTTTTAAAACCTTCCTTTTTTGTGAATTATAAACCAGAAAGTCCCCTTAAATAAAACCAGAAACATAAAATTTTCAAAAACTAAAAATTTAAACTTCTGGTCTCCCTTTTAAAAAAAAATGGGATTTTTATTTAAAATTCTTCGATTGGTGGTATTTAAAATAAAATTCTTTTTAATAAAAACCTTTTTTTAGGTAAAAATAAAGATTTTCTAATTTAATTCACCGGAAATTTATTAAGTTAACTTTTTGAATTTGAATTATTATTTTAAGGTTTTATTTTAAAATTCAAGGTGAAAAAAATATTTCAAGGTGAATTAAAGGTTTTCAAGGCCGTTGAACATTATGTGAAATTAAAACTAAATGGAATATTAAAATAAAATTTTACCCTCCCATCTCTTCAGTGAGTTTTCCTTTGATAAATGTGAAAATATTATTAAATTCAGCTTCTCGACAAGGCAAGGATTTGGGCATAAAACTGACATGCAAACGAGTTCGAAATTTTTCAATATTTGTTTTTGGCTTAGAAATAATGGAATTTCTCGTTTGCATAGGCGGTGTCAGGTTTCTGATCAAAATACGTCGCTTATGTAGAGTTCCCTTGTTAGATAATTTATTATCTAGTTGGGCAATATTTTTTTTTTCTCTAGTATTCGATTTTTGTTGGCTTTTCGAAAATTTTTTGTTTCGAGGGTTGTAAGTCACATTTTTATTATTTGAATTTGAGGGCTCTCTTTTACTTCTTGTAATCTTCGGCTCTTGTGTTTTGTTTAGCATTTCTTTATTCTCTGATCTAGTATTTGGAGAAGATGATTTCTCTTTACCATCACGGTAATTTATTTTTTTATTGCGAACCCTGAGATTTCTTCCACTTGACGTTTGAGAATTTTCAATATTAAATGTCCTATGAGCAGGAACTATATTTTTATCTTCGTAATTGTCAGAATTAAATAAACTTTTTTGAACTGATTCTTCAAATTTATAGCAATCTTCTTTTCGACTTAAATTCCATTTGGATTGACAATCCATATTTTTACGATGTATCTCTCTATTAAGGCAAATTTAAATAAAAATTAATTTTTATTTAAAAACTGTAGAGGGGGTAAAAAAGGTTCTTTTTTATAAAAAAAATTCAAAAATATTTTTCATTTTCAAAAAAGGGTTAAATTTTGAATTTTTGGAAAATTTTTTTGAAAGAGCAAGAAAAAAATTTTTGAAAACGTAGATCAAATTTTATTTCACTTTTATATAATTTTTAAATATATTTAATTAATTTAATAAAATTAATTATAATGTTTAATAATGTTTTAATTATGTTATATAACTCTCATGTCATGTTTTTAAATAATCAAATGTTAACTTATTTACTACTAGATCAAATGAGAAATTTTGCCACATATATAAATACCTACAATAATTATCTTATATGTATTTGAAAATATATACCTAGATTAAGTAATTGGGTTAATTATGCAATAATTGTTGTTGCGACAACAATGTATAACCTAGAATACGCTTAATTATATTACTTTTGAAAGAATTAATACACTGAACTCTATCTGGAATGCTGTCTGCCATTGATGGTCGCGAGCCGAGAAGAGAGGGCTGATTTTGGTATCCCTCTCCTTCTCTTGCTAAACTGCGCAGGCGTAGTACAATACGTTCCAAAAGTTTAAGGCCTAAGCAGATTAGCAGAATAGCTTCGCGAAAGACGTTCGCGAACGTGAAGCATGAGTTAGGAAAGGACAGAAGTATATATGTATCCTTTTCTATCTCATGCATCTCGTTCACGAACGACTTTCGCGAAGCTATTGTGCGTTGGCCTTTACTGTTAACTGAAGCATTTCGTATGAGAATACGAGGTCATCACGGTACTATTCCTTCGTGGGGGTCATGTCTCAGATTTTTCTCAAAATTCGGCAAATTGTAGTGATAGTGGTGCTAAATAAGTGTACAAATTTTGAATTTGAAATTTTTAATATTTTTCGAGATATTTACAATAACAAATTTGAGCAATATTTTTTAAGTTTTTGATCTATTGTGGACACAACCTAAAGTTGCTTCTCCAATGAGAACGTTTGTAAGCGAATATGAACATGTAGGTTCTGACGTCACATTGTTCTGCATATGGGTGACGTCAGCACTTACACGTTCACGTCGTGTACTAATGTGCCAATGTAGACTCAGCTTAAGTTTGTTCTACAATAAGCGCGTCGGACGTGGACGTACTGACGTTACCCATTTGAATAAAGTCGGTTCTACAATGGGCACGTTTGTACGTGAACGTATACGTTCCGTGCTGACGTCACCCATTGTAGAACCGACTTGAGGACCTGTCCAGAATAGACCAAAACATGAACGTAAACGTAACATCACAATGTATTTTAAATGGATACGTTAGGGTACGGTCATACCTCGGTAGAAGGCGAGGCTACCTGTCTATCATATAATATAACGTATAAGAGTGAGAGAAATAAAAAATGTTCTTATTTCTCTCACTCTTATATGTAATATTACATGATAGACAGGTAGCCTCGCTATCTACCGAGGTGTGACCATTCCCTTACGTTCACGTTCATGTTTTTGGTCTATTGTGGACACAACCTAACGTCAGCACGTTCACCGCGCTTAGTGTAGAAACAACTTTGAACGGGAACGAAAGAATAAGTAAGAGAAGGATAGCAAATATCTATTCTTCTCTCAACTTTAGGTGAGAGTAGAATCAGCATGAAGGTGCTTATATACCTCAAATTTCGATCAGATGAACATTATTTCTGGACCGTGAAAATGCGTGAAAAGTCATTTTCACGGCGGGTATTTTTGAATTGTTTTAAACAAAAAATGTTTTTTTAAGAAATATAATATTAAATAATTGTTTTAATATGTAAGAACACTTTAAAATAGTGATAGAGAGATGATTTGATTAAAAAATTTAGCAAATTTTGCTTTAAAACGTTTTCTGCTACAAGAAAGTGTAAAATGACGATGTTTGTGAAATGGTTTGTACAGTGCTTCTTCCTTGTTAGTGTCTCTCAGAGTTTTGTTTATGTTATGTCGGTTCTTTTTAACTTGTAATAAATAATGAGTGCTGAAAATAAATCGGTAAGTTGAAATGTTTATCAAATAAATTTAAATTCAACTAATTGTTTCGAATAACTGAAAGAAACATGTACACATGTACACTGTACAAACCATTTCACAAACATCGTCATTTTACACTTTCTTGTAGCAGAAAACGTTTTAAAGCAAAATTTGCTAAATTTTTTAATCAAATCATCTCTCTATCACTATTTTAAAGTGTTCTTACATATTAAAACAATTATTTAATATTATATTTCTTAAAAAAAACATTTTTTGTTTAAAACAATTCAAAAATACCCGCCGTGAAAATGACTTTTCACGCATTTTCACGGTCCAGAAATAATGTTCATCTGATCGAAATTTGAGGTATATAAGCACCTTGAATGAGTAGCATTGTGACGCCAGTACGGAACGTTTCGTCCACGTCCCATTGGAGAAGCAACTTTTGAGCGGGCTATGTAGATGATATCGAACACAGCCCTTTTACCCATCCCTGCACTCATGCAACATCTGTGTATGCGTCGCCATGTTTGTATCAAACTACAAAAAAACGTCCTTTGCCCCACATACCCTTAAAAACAATAATTTAGTTGTGTGAAACAAAAATATTTGGTAGACCGAACAAAACGATTGAACAAAAAAATTTAGTTCTGCCAACCAAATGGTCTAGTTGCATCATATCAAATAAAAAATTTGGTAGAGAGAACTAATGTGATTTATAATGATATAATTTTGTGGAAGAAAAAATAAAGGAGAATAAGAATAAAATGTTGATTAATTATGAATAAAATTTGCATTTAGTATAAATATTTATTTTGTATAATGAGACGCTTAATATGTTATTCGACTACCATTTTTTTCACATTTTGTTAATTGTAACAAAGTTTTTTAAATAAATAAAATTAACATTCGAGTATATATAGTGAAAATTTCTCGTGAACTTGTCACACTGTTCATATTTATTGTTTTTCGTATTATAAGAGTCATGGAAGCCAAGAAGTTAAATAAAGTTCGAGAAGTTTTTTGTGTCATAAGACGAGAATTAGCTTGCTATATTTGGTATATGTCATAAAAACTGAATCAAATAATTATTGTATATTTTCACATAATACATATAAATATTCTCCGCAGGTTTTCTTGCAAAATATTTCATAGATTGAGCTAAAATTTTGTGGAGAACTCAAAAATAGTTTTTTGTCATGTGCCAGATTAATTTAATATTTTGTCCAAAAAAATTTTCTTCAAAAATTGACTATTTGTAAAAAGAACTGGAATCACATTGTCGCCATATTGACAAATTTTCCTCAAATATGAAATTTTTTTAAAAATATTTTTGATAAAATATTAATGCTTTGGTATGCATAACAGTGATTCCTTATATATAGTATTTTTGTTTTCTCTACAAAATATTTTAGTCCAATCTATCAAAATTTATTTTGTGAGAAAATCTGCGGAGAATATTTACATGTGAAATCACAACAATTACATAAAAATTTTTTCACTTATTTTTATAAACTTTTTTTTATTATAGCAAGAAAGTCATTTCTAAACCCTACATAGCAAATTGTGGTCACTCGTACTGCAAAAAATGTATTCGAGAACAAACTATTTTAATGGAAAATTGTCCAAGATGTCTTTTTCATTTCATATATCGTCGTTATACTAAAAAGAATAATAGATTGAAAAAAATTGTTGAGCAATTTAAAGTAGTCGAAAATGCATTTCAACTTGACAATCAAATTGACAGTGAGTATTTAAAAAAAAAAAGTATAATTATAAATAGAACAATAATAAACCTCGGAGTACCGAGGAAAAGATAAAGAAATTAGCGACGTGGGGATTTGTTAGTGATAATTAAATAATTTTTAGTTTTTCTTTTAACGAAGTCAAAAAGGTTTAAAATAAATGGAAAATATGTCTCGAACCCTGTTCTGCAGGGAGAGTAAATAAAATAAAAACGACATTTAATAAAAATGAATATTTTTTAATTTTATTTTTTCTAGTTTCTGAAGATTTGTTTGAGCGTTCATTTGCAGTCGATGCGGAAATTCGAAAGCGTTTTAAAAATACAAATAAAAATTTATCAATTCCTGGAGAAGAAATTGAAATGGAAACTGTCCCCGAAAAAGAAATTCAGAGTGAAGGACTTTTTCAAGAACAAGAATCTGGCTATAATTCTGAGGGAACAACAAGTTTAATAAATCCAAATTTGATAAAAAAAATAGTTAATGTAGATGAATTAAGTTCATCAGAACTTCCAACAGAAGAATATTTTATTAAAAAGATAAAATCAGTTTGATTGAAAATGAAAAATAATTTCCATTAGTGATTATAGGATTTATTTATATTTAATGCATTGTTTATTTGATTATGTTAATTATTAAATTTCGTTTCTACTTCTTTATATAATAATGATCTTTTATCTTTTTTTTTTCTTTTCTTTTTTCTCTATAGGTGTATTTTTTTTTTGTCTTTGTATTCTTAATTTTTGTTAAAAGTTCTTCAATAAATTGTGATTTTTTGATATTGGGAAGTTTATTATTGAAAAATGTTAAATTTTTAAATTGAGCCACTGAATTGTAGAAGGGCACATAAATTTATTTCATCCAAAAAATTATATTCTTTAGCGCATTTTTTTTTCTTATGAAAAAAATTTCCATCTTTTATCCTCATTTACATTTTCTCTGAAGTTTTATTTAAATTATAAATTCGCGAGGTTATTCATAAAAATTGTGAAATTTTCAATAGAATTCTACATTATGATTTTATAAATTTTTGTTTCTTTTATTGTATAAAATATACATAATCAGAATATATTCTAGTTGTATAATATAATTTTTTTTTTAATATACTATGAAAAAGAACGTAACTTTCGTTTCTTAACAAGATAACAATATATAAAATAATGAAACAAAAATTAATACATATTTTAAGAAAGACTCATTTTTCTGAAATTCAACTCTGTTTCCTTTTGTTGATTTCGTTCACGATTATTACAAATTTCTTTTAACTTTTTACAAATTTTTATTGTCTCAATATCTAAATTTTTACTAGAAAATGCATTTGGCAAAAAATCTGTTGAAAGAAAAGTATAAATACAAGTTCGCCCTCCAAGAATGCATTGATGTAACTAAAAAAGAAAAAAAAGAATTAATTTTTTATTGTTTGAAAAAAATAATTTCTTTCGTTTTTTAACATATTATATTTTTGTACATGGATAAATAGAGATCCTTGAGCTTTTTTATATATATATATATTTATAAAAGTAAAATTCATTTACCTCAAATATTGAATTATTGGGAAACTTTTCAAACGCCAGTAAATAATATTTTGCTGCATTTGAAAGATCGTGATTGCACATGTAATAACAAGCCGCCAATTGTAAATAAATATCCAATATTCTACTCTCATATTTTACATAAGTTACCAACATTTCTTCTAAATGTTTTACAAAATCATATTTTTCTCCAGATTTTGCTTGACATTTTAAAAATGAATTTTCGGCTCCGTAATTGAAACCAGTACTCGCTTTTTTAAAATATATTGCAGCTTCCTGTAAAGTTAATCTAAATATTATTATTTTATTCTATTAAATTATAATTAAAAATTTAATTCTAAATAATTGAATTTTTAATTATATATAATTAAAAATTAACAAAAAAATTGTTTTTTCAAAAATCGTGAATTAAAAATCAAATTGTACTATTTCTTACTTTAAAATTTTTTATATTCTCCAAATAAATTCCTTTATAATGCAAAAACATGGAATCATCAGGAACTCGCGATTCAGCAAAATCGAGACATTTTTTCGCTAATGGAAGACATCCTAATCTTATAAAACCAAGCGCTAAACGTAAATTAATTGACGCACTTTCTGGCTTTGAATTATAAATTTCTTTATATATTTTCAAAGCACGATTTCTATCTCTCTTTTCTTTATGCATTTGTGCAAGATAAATACCAAAAGTTGGCTCTTTTGATAATTGATAAGCTTTTTGAAATGCCAATTCTTCTTTTTTTGTTGGTTTAGTTAAAAAATTTTCCATTCGTCTTAATCGTCGTAAATTTTTTCCCAATATAAAATGCCATACATCACAATTTCCATTGTCTTTAATTGATAATTGACTGAATTCAATAACATTTTTTATTCCAAATTCACCGGCTTCTTTATATTTTGACCATGCAATACTTTTACAGCCATTTAATGTACTTCTGTCCATAATATTTTTTTCATAGTCAATATCATTGTGAAGAGTTTTTAAAATCTCATCAATTTCATCGAAACAATTTTCCTCTAATAATAAAAAACATTTTGTGCCCTTGTAAATGTTTTCTAGTACATTTAGAGAAACATCTTTTTCATGTCTGTTTTAATAAATTTTCGTTTTTTAAAATTAAAATTATTTATTTTAATAAATTTTTGTATTTTTTAACTGGAAAAAAATATGTACATATTTTAACGTTTCGAAAACAATCCCGTTTTTCTCATTAGAATTTTATTAATCTATAATAATAATAATAATAATAATAATTTTTTTGTCTTTTAAATTTTGAAAAATACCTACAATTACAGATAAAAAAAAGTTACACATCGTCAATTAATTTTGAGCATGATTGTAATAAAAAAAATAATAATAATTCAAAAATTTTTTTTTAGAATTGACCAAAAAAAGGTCCAAGTTTTCTGAAAAAATATTTATAGTAATTTAATTACTAATAATTAATTAAAAATTTAAATTGTCAGAATTTGACGATATGTAAATTTTTTTTATCTGTAATTGAATTTTTCAAAATTAAAAATATTTTTATTATAGATTAATAAAATTCTGATGAGAATAACGGTACTGGTTTCGAAAATTCATATATATATATATTTTTTCCTGTTTCAATATACCAAAATAAATAATTTTTTATAAATTGAATAACAATTATTATTTATATAAATTACCTAATTATTTTATATATTTTTCTTTAATTTTTTTTTTAAATTAAAACAAATTTTTATATTGTTTTATATATAATTAAATATTAATAATTAATAAATTAATTAAATTAAAAATATAAATTAAATAATTTTACTTTTCTTTTACGGAATTCCAAGTATCTTCTGCTAATTTTAAAGATTCTTTTGCTTCGGAGAAATTCTTTTTTTGTACACTCTCATACACTTGTACTAAGGAACGAATCCATAATAATAATGGTACAAAATTTTCATCGTCATGAGTTTTTGAATCGTCTTCAATTTCATTCAATGTTTCCAATTCCCATGTAAATATGCATTCAATTTTTTTTAAACGTTCCAATATCTCTTCTGATTGATTCATTTTTTTTTTTTTTTTTTATCTAAAAATAATAATTATATATTTTACAAATAATTATTGACTTTTATAGAAGAATTTTTTTCTTGGCTTTATATAATTTTTTATTTAATTAACATTTTTTATTAAAAACATTAAATTATAAAAATATTCAAACATTACGTTTTGATGTAAAATATTACATGAGGGGCTGATAGTAAAAATGGTTTAAAATAACATTGGGAGCAAAAGTGGGATAAGTGACTTGGGAGCAAAAACGGGTTAAAATGATTCGTGTAATTTATTGATAAATTCATTATATTATCGACTAAAAAATATTAATAATAGGAAAAAATGCATATTTTATTATAATTAATATTTTTTAATCGATAATATAATGAATTTATCAATAAATTACACGAATCATTTTAACCCGTTTTTGCTCCCAAGTCACTTATCCCACTTTTGCTCCCAATGTTATTTTAAATCATTTTTACTATCAGCCTCTCACATCATTCTCATCATTGCAGAAACAGTAAAAAAGAAAATCGAAATTTTTAAATCAATTTTTAATGAAGATATAAATGTATAATTTTTTTTTTTAATATTATAGAATAAAAATTTTTATTTAAATATATTTTAATTAAATCCACATTGTTTCTGATGTAATATTTTACATCTAAATGTGATAAACAAATTTTTAAATATTTTTATAATTTAATAAAAAAAAAAAAAAGTTAATAAAAGTCGTTTTGTTACCTATTTTAGAAAAAGTTTTCGATTTTTTCCGTGAAAAATAAAAAACAATTGAATAAAAATAAAAAAAATAACCTATTTAAAAAACATTTAATTTTGTTTAATTTAAACTTACCTGAATTTAATCATGCAGGTCAACAAAAAAAGAAATGTTTTATTGATTTTTTAATAAATATAAACAAATGAGATCGATAATAATTAGCTTCTTGGTTTAGTTATCAGGATTCATGTCTGTCATTCTACGCCGGCAAGGCCGGTTTTCTCGTAAACGGTTGGGTAGATCAAGAATTGCAAATATTTCCTCTCAGACAATTGAAAACAAGCTTTTTCTTCTTTCTGAATTTTCAATAGATCAAAAATTTGCAAGTTAGCCATAAATTACTAAAAAAAAAAAGAAAAAAAATGTAAAAAATCATTTCTCCTTTTCATTCATTAAAAATATTTTAATGTCTGATTAAATATTAAACTATTATATTAAATATAGAAAAGATTACACATCTATTTTAAAATTTAAATTCGCGCTTTAAAATTTTTGACCAATAAGAATTGGTAAATTAACGCATGCGCATCGATGGAGAATTCCGGTGATCACGTTTTGGAATTCTTCATATCCCACTCTGGGCTGGAGAAATAATTATGATATTCTCTCGTCGGTAATTAATTAAAGAAAACGCGGTTCATTATTAGTTTTAATAATATACATATATAATGTAAGAATTTTTCAAGAAAATGGACAATCTTTCAAACATATGTAATCCTGTGAAAATTCATTAGTATTCGAATGTTTTCCTGGATTGTAGCTGCGAGTAAAAAAAGAATTTACAAAACGCAATGGCAACTCACAAGACAGGTGGGCAAAGTGCCCGAAAGAAAGTACAGGTATGATTTTTTAATTAAAAAAAAAAGAAAAAAACTAATTGAAAATTAATGTTTTTTGTATTTCATCTCTAAAAAGAAATAGAATTTCTCCTATGTGAAGGAGAAAAAAAAATACTTTTAAATTTCGAGGTTATAAAGCAAATAACACTTTCTTATTAATTTTTCTGCAATGTAAACAATATTTTGTTACTTTTTTTTTTTACAAAACTTATTATTATTGTTAATAAACTCGTAAATATTTTTATTTTTAAATCCATTATTAATACTTTGAGTTATTCCATTAAATTCTGTTTTAAATTTTATTTAATTCTATATATATTGAAGAATATTGACTTTTCAGGAAAATGACACGATTTTTCTTTCATTGTTTTGAGAAATTGATTTTATTTCATTTATGTTGAAAGTAATTTTTTTGTATTATTATTTAAAGTAATACAGATTTGCAATAAAAAAAAAATTTCCATTTTAATTTAGAAATAAAATTTTCTTTAATTTTATACACTCTTCTCGTAGATAAATAATAAAATTTAAAATTAATGAAATGTTAATTTTGGAAAAAAATCCAGTTTGAATGTTTTAAATTGTTATTCAGGTTTCAATGGTTATAAGAGATGAAGTGGAAAGGAAACACCGTGCAGGAGTGAATTCCTTGCAATATGATCCCAATCTGCATAGGTTATATTCTGCTGGCAGAGACAGCATAATCAGAATGTGGAATTGCACAAATATGAATGACCCATATATTCAATCGTTGGAGCATCATACAGATTGGGTTAATGATATTGTTTTATGCTGTGGAGGAAAGAATCGTAAGTATATAAGATGTATTCCACGCCAAAGTGTAAATCCATATGCAATTGCAACTCCGATTTTTTGAGATTTTTTTTCTTTTAGTACTAATTGAGACTATAGCTTCCATGAATTTTTTCAAATTTTTTTAGCAAGCCGTTTTCGAGTTATGGAATTTTGAAAATTGGAGAATTTTCATGACTTTTAATTTTTGAATACTCATAACTTCTTTAAAAATGCATCAATTTTAAAAGTCTTTTTTTCAAAATGTGTGTTTTTAAACGTTCTTTTCAAAAAAAAAATCGAACTTTTTTTTTAAACGATATTACTATCAAATTTTTGAGTTTTAATGATAAAAAGTCATTTTTCTCATTTGTCGTACTGATCGATTTTTTTCAAAATTTTTTCAAAAAAACTATTTCTTTTTACGAAACTTTTAAGCCTAGTCCGATAATGGGCAAACGATTTTTACAATATTTTCGGAATTTTTTAAAAATATTTTTGGTTTTTTTTTATACTATGTACTTTTATGTATTTTGATGCGCTGATTACGAAAATCATAGTGACAATACCAGAAAATTTGATTTTTATGGTAAAAACCATAAAAAATCGCAAAATTTATGGTTTCTTTTTTTTTATTGGGTAAAATATGCAAAATTAAAAAAAAATACATAAGATATAAAAAATTTATTTTAATAAGATTTATAACTTTTATTTGGAAGTTTTTTTTTATTTTGCATATTTTACCCAATAGACGAAAAAAATCATAAATTTTGGGACTTTTTTATGGTTTTCACCATAAAAATCAAATTTTTGGTTATTGTCACTATGATTTTCATAATCAGCGCATCAAAATACATAAAAATACGAAGTATAAAAAAAAAACTAAAAATATTTTTAAAAAATTCAAAATTCAAAAATTTTTGAAAAATTCTGAAAATATTGTAAAAATCGTTTGCCCATTATCGGGCTAGGCTTAAAAGTTTCGTAAAAAGAAATAGTTTTTTTGAAAAAATTTTGAAAAAATTCGATTTTTATTTTTAATTATTTAATTTTAATTAATTTTTTTAATTAAAAACTTTTTGAATTAAATTTTTGTATGTGATTTCTAATAAATTCTTCATCAACAGAAATCACCAAAAATTTCTCTTACTATAATTATTGTCTGAAATTTAACACAATCTTTTGAAATTCAAGTATTTTCAAAAATTTTAATTTAAAAGCTTCTAAAATTTAATTATATCTAAAATTTTTTGAAATTTAATAATTTCAATTATAATTCTCCTGAAATTCAATTATTTTTAATGATTTTTATTATATTCTTCGAAAATTCAACTATCTGTAACAATTTTTCACTTAAAAAGTTTTCAAATTATTGTATTTTTGTCTGCAATTTAAAAAAAAAATTTAGTAACAGAAATCATTAAAAAAAATTTTAATTAAAAATCACTTGAAGTTCAATTAATTTCAAAAATCTAAATTGTCAATCTTTGAAAATTCAACAATTTTACTTAGGTGAACGTTCACAAGATTTATTATCTTAGAAGAAAAAAATATATACTTTGTGTCTCAAAAAAAAATTTTAACGTTTCTTGATCAACAATGATCTAAAAGTTTTGAACGTTCAAATGAACGAAATATTTCTTTTAATCTATCTATAATAATTAGTAAATTAAACAATTATTAAATTAAATAACTTCTTTTTAGATATTTAAAACAATATTTTGTAATTAAATTCGTACTTAAAGAAGTTGTAAAAAAATTTCTTTCATTTGAACATTCAAAACTTTTGGCTCATGATCAGCAATTTTTAAATGGAAAATTTGTAGACAAATAATTAATTATTTCAGAATGAAAAAAATTTTTTTTTTTTGTCAATCGTTGATGTGCAATTTTTTCCTCTAAAAGGGATTACAGGTTATCATCACCTATTCACCTTTTTTCACCTATTTCATCTGTTTTGATAATTTATTACCTTTTTCACTTTTTATATGTTTCGATTAATTTGCAAATGAAATAATAAAAAAAATAATCAAGTTTACAATGTAAAAACATTGATTTAAGTTCAGGAATGTTGAAAAATAATTTTTTACCTACTTTAAAAAGAATTTTAACATTGCTGAAATTCTATTAATCTATAAAACACAAAATTACAGATTTTCATCTTTTCTATAAATTATTCAATTCGCTCTAGCTTGAATTTATCAAAAAAAAATTTATTTCGATCAAATTTCAATAAATCTACAATTAAATTAGTTGAAGCATTTATTGATTAAAATTGTTATCGATATAAATTTATAATCATTCTAATTCTAATTAACCTCTAATTCCATTGATACAAAATTAAATTTATTCAAATGAAATTTTAATTTAATTAATTTTTTTAATTAATTTTTCCCCAGTCATATCTGCGAGTTCAGATACAACTGTGAAAGTGTGGAGTGCTCATAAAGGATTTTGTATGTCAACATTAAGAACGCACAAAGATTATGTTAAGTCATTAGCCTATGCAAAAGATAAGGAACAAGTTGCCAGTGCCGGGTTGGATAGAGCAATTTTTCTATGGGATGTTAATACTCTCACGGCTTTAACTGCAAGTAACAATACCGTAACAAGTAAGAAAATATCAAAATATTTATTTATATATATTATTTTAAATTGAAAAATCAAAATATCTTTTTTTCTCAATGGTTTTTTTTTTAACTGAAAAATTTTAATGAACACTTTGTCATTAATTTATGTTCGTAGAAAATAAAGATTATAGAATAACATTGATTTTTGCAGCATCATCTCTTTCTGGGAATAAAGATTCCATATATAGTTTGGCTATGAATCCGTCAGGATCGGTAATTGTTAGTGGCAGTACGGAAAAAGTATTACGAGTTTGGGATCCGAGGACGTGTAACAAATTGATGAAATTAAGAGGTCACACGGACAACATAAAGGCACTAGTTCTCAATAAAGATGGCACACAATGTTTGTCTGCTAGTTCCGATGGTACTATTAAATTATGGTCTCTCGGCCAACAACGTTGTGTTCAAACAATAAAAGTACACAGTGAAGGAGTCTGGGCACTGCTGGTAAATATTTGAAATTTTTTTCAAATAGAAAAAAAAATATTATTTGATCATAATCAGAATTATGTGTCTGGAGTTCTGAACGAATAATTTTTAATTTTTAATTTTTTTTTTTTTAAATATTAATTTATGTACATATCTAAACAAATTGTAAATTCAGATGTTTATTACATGAACATTTTGCTTCCTCTTTACGATCAGCAAAAAAATTTGCTTCCTCGTGGAGAAATGAGCCGAAAGTTCTGAACGTTCATATGAACGAAATATTTTTTTCAATCTATAAGTTATTAAAAATTATAATCATGTAAAATAAAACAGTAAATTAAACAATTATTAAATTAATAATTTCTCTTTAGATATTTTAAACAATATTTTGTAATAAAATTCGTACATAAAGAAGTAGCAAAACAAATTTCGTTCATATGAACGTTCAAAACTTTTAGCTCATAGAGATAGCATTAACATTGAAATTAACGTACAAAAATAATATAATAATAATATAAACATTTTAGTACCTATAGATATGAGTTAAATTTAAAGAATTAATGAAAGTTAAAAAATCAAAAATTCACATTTTAGCTGAAATTTCTAAAAATTAATAAAAAATAATATATAATTTATAATTATTTACAATTATATCGATTCGTTTCAATGCAAGGAACACAATTATTTTCTATTTAAACTTGAATTTAAATAAATACAAAATTTTTCAGCTAAAATGTGAATTTTTTAACTTTCATTAATTTATTAAATTTACTTCAAATGTAAACTTTATATATACCATTCGATTCGTTTTCATTCAAGGAATACAATTATTTCATCTATAAACTTAAATTTAAATAATCACAAAATTTTATAGACAAAATATTGTTTGCCAGGTGAACGATACATTCAGTCATGTCCTATCGGGTGGTAGAGATAAAAAAGTAATAATGACAGAACTAAAGAATCCACAACGATACAGTTTAATTTGTGAAGAAAAAGCTCCTATCTTAAAAATGGTTATGACCCCAGACCAGTCCAGTATTTGGGTGGCAACTAGTGAATCTACAATTAATAATTACGTGAGTAATATTTTATTATACAATTAAAGTTATAAGCGACTGACCAACACTAAATTTCATCTTTTCTTTAATCTTTTAACTAAAACAGTTAAACCTTTTGTATTTTTTTTTTTGTAAAAGAAGTTTTTATTGCTATAATCCTTCACTTTCCCAAAATTACATTTTTTTTTAAATCGAACAAAATTTGAATATTACATTACAAAATAGACTCTCCTTCAATCGATGAGTTATTCACATTTAAATCAAAAAGTTGTCCCCATTAAAATTTTTTCAACAATTTTTTTAAATCAGTTTATATTAAACATATTCTTCACATTTAATGTTGTATATTTTTTTTATTTTTTAACTTATTGGTGAATATTCAATTGATATTTGTAAAATAAAAAATTTTAAAAACACGAATTTTTAAAATCAGAATTGCCACGAAAATTTTATTTAATTTTTTTCTGATTTCCAGACAAAATATATTTTTTATTTTTAATCATGGAAAATTGTATTAAATTTCTCTATTTTTTTTCCAAAATTCGGAATTTTTTTTTACAAATTCAGCTCTTTAATATTTTTTCAGTGTTTTTAATAAAAATATCTGCCTCTTCCCTGACTTCTCAGACATGTGGTAACCCTGAAAATATTTGTTTAAAAATCTTTGTTATTACGTAAAAACTATTATAATTAGTTAAAAGAGTAATCAAAAAATTATTATTTGATTTATTAGAACAATTTTACTATTATTATTATAAAGTTAAATAAATAAATGAAGTTATTAAAGTTGCAAAAATCAAAACATTTTAAAGAAGATTTCTTTTTGGATAATTTTAGTTCAATATTATTAATTCAAAATTAATATTTTCTACAAAAAAAAGATTTTAAATTTTTTAATGTTTTACAAAATTATTCACTTTTTAGAAATCAAGAAAAGAATAAATTGTTGAAAAATTTTTAGTTTTTAATTTAAAAATGTAATTTTTTTTTTTTTTTGATAAAAACAAAAATATTTCTTTGATGTTTTTATTTTTTTTATTAATTTAGAAATGAACCTTTGAAAAATGTGACGTAATTTAAAAAAAAAATTTGATTTAAATCGAACAAATTGTATTTTTTTTTTTTAAAAAAATCATGATTCTTATCAGCCCTATTTATTATACTAAAAAAAAAAAGAACAGTTAAACCTTTTTTATTTTTTGTGAAATTATTTTTTATTGCTGTAATATTTATCTGAAAAACTTATAAATATTTTCTCTGTTAAAAAAACTTTTTACGAATATTTGTGAAAGTAAAATTTTACATTTTTATATTAATCAATTTGGGTCAGTGCTGAAAAAAATTTCTCAATTTTCTGAAGATTGTAACTTTTTTTCGTACCTCCAAAAAAATTTGAGGTTTAGAGAATATTTTTATACTAATATAATTTATATAATTTTAAAATTTGACGAAGATGTTTTGCTTTATTTTAAAAATATTAATTTCTTAAATTTTTTTCCTTAAAAAAGTTAATCCTAAAACTTGAAGTTTTAAACTGAACCAAAAATTCTTATATAATTGAACTTAAATTTATATTTTTAATTAAACAGTTAAAAAATTTTTTTGTGGTATAATAATTAAATTTTATAAGTACAAAAAAAATTTGGGACTTAGAAAAAAATAAAAAAAAAGTTTTTTCTTTTTTTATTAATGAGTTCAGAAAAGTTTTGAAGTTAAAAAAAAAATTTTATTGTTTTTTTAATGCGCAATTATTGCTTGTGAAATATAAAATTTCATAAAAATAATAATATTAATTAATTGTTTAATGCAAATACAAAAAAACTGTACTAAGATAACTAAAATTAAAAAAAAGATAACGAAAAATGTGATATGGTTTATTAATTAATTATTTTATCACTATATTGTTAATTCATTAATTAATCGCTTGTTAAAAAATTATTTATTTCATAATGAATATCTTTAATTTTTTTCTTCTTTTTTTTCTTGACAATAAGAAATGTAATTATATTTTTATTATTTTTTCCTTTTTTTTCTAGAGTATTTCGTTTAGGGGAGACCAATGCGGAGATTATTGTGTTGACGGAATTGGCAATGCGGTAGGTGGAATTATACCACAAAATTCTGATCCAGTTCAAAGGATATTGGGTGGACCAGCGATAAGACAATGTTACGTTTTAAATGACAGGCGGCATGTCTTGACTAAAGACACAGAGGAAAATGTATCACTTTATGATGTATTGAAAGCTTGCAAAGTCGAGGACTTGGGTCACGTTGATTTCGAACAGGAAGTGAAAAATCGTAATAAAATTGTTTTTGTGCCCAATTGGTTTAATGTCGATTTAAAAACAGGGGTTCGTATAATTCTTTTTTTTCCATTTCAAAAACATTAAAAAGAAGAAAATTCTAGTTAATTTTTTTTTTTTTAGATGTTAACCATTCATTTGGGTCAAGATGAAAACGATTGCTTTTCCGCATGGGTTTCGGCAAAAGAAACTGGCCTAGCTGAAGATGATGCTGTCGATCAAAAAGGTGTAAATCTAATTTTTTTTTTTTTGAAATCTGTGTTTATTTTTGATAATTATAATTATCAAATTGTTAATATAATAATTTCTAATTATATTTATTTATTTCAGTCAATTATGGAAATCTACTTTTACAAGCCCTTTTGGAACAATGGTGGAGACCTTTACACGCGGACGATGAAAATGAAACCAATAGTAACGATGGTAATGTCCCAAGACATACGCGAGGTGGAAATCCTTATTTTTCGGTACCGGGACACACGCCAGTTATTTTCAGGTACATTTTTTTTGTTTACATTAATTAAATAAATAAATGGGATGCATTAATCTTTCCTAAAATTCATTAATTTGAATTTTATAAGGACAAATTTATATTTAAACAAATTTTATAATGTTTTCTCTAATTTAAATTTGCATTATAATTATCCCACATTTTTGTTGACTGATTACAGTGAAGTGGGAGGTAGAACATTATACAGGTTACTTGTTCAAGACGCGGGAGGTGAAACGGAAGGTGTTCTTTTAAATGACACTGTTCCGCCATGGGTTCGAGATATTGTAGTCGATAAAAATCTACCAAAATTCATTAAAATTCCATTTTATCTCTTACCACATTCCACGTCTGGTGTTAAGAGTTTAAAAAAGTAAGTGCAAACAGAGGAGATAATAACATTTTTTTTTTCATTGTGATATTAACATTTACTCTATAGATTTGTGGATGAATTTAAAAAAAAAATTGTTTTCTCTTTTTCTTCAAAGGGATCGCCTAATAGCTAATGATTTCATACAAATACGTAAAGTTGCCGAGCATGTGTACGATAAAGTTTTAGGAGCCGGAAGTGATTCTGGTTCAGTAGCCGGTGGAGGAAATACAGTTTCCAGTGGCTCTCCTGCTGGGGATAGAGCGAATACTGATTCAAATGCAGATAACTCGTCATTGGCTGAAGAAAAAGTTGAATTATTGTGCAACGATCAATTATTAGATCCATCAATGGATTTGAGAACTGTAAGATTAATATTTAAAATAATAATAATTTAATATTTTCAACATTAACAATTTAATTGTTCTATTATTTACAGGTGAGACATTTTATCTGGAAAAGTTCAACGGACTTGACGCTTCATTATCGACCTGTCAAATAAACTAAGACTCGTGTTTTAGAAAAAAAAAAAAAAAATGATCATTACACAAGTGTTCCTGATTCTCTTCGGTGACAAAGTAGACAATTATTCCTATCGGTATTTAATATAGAAAAAAAATATATACATATAAAATCCGGATCAATTAAATTGTACGCGGTAATTACAAAAAAAAAAACAGCATTAAAATTGCTGCAAGACTTGCGCGTACATATTTTATAAAAAATAATTTTTTTTTAAATATTCATATGATTAAAAAGAAACATCTTTAAATTAGTAGAAAATCTTATATTCTACCAATTTTAGAAACAGCAAACAAAATGAAAAACAGAAATTATTAAAAATTCAATTTTTCTAGGGAATAATACCTTTAATCAAATTGTAAGAGGAATATATATATATATTTCTTTGCATTTTATCTTCCTTGAAATCGTCATCATTTTTTTGTAATCAATTGTATTTTTTTATTCTTGAAATTATTCTCAATGATAAAAGTGATGACGTATATTTTACTCTGATTCGAAATTTTATTTATTTTTTGATGAAGAAAAAACAAATTTGTTGAATCAATTTTCCAAGTAATTTGTAATTACAATTTTACTTTTTAATTTAAAAAGAGAAAAAACTAAAAAAAAAAAAAAAAAATGAAATCAACTTGTAAATAGAAATTGATATAATTAGCTTTACTAAGTTGTGACTCCCATTTCTTCGTGCCATCGAGTCTTACATTGTACAATAAATTTTCATAATTTAAAATCAAACTGAATGTATATAATAATCATTAAATTTCATCTTCATGTATTTTTAAATTAAAGTAAGGTTTGTATACCATACCTGAAAAATTATTTATTGTCTTATTAATTAACCCGGAAAATAATTATATTTTTAATTGATCTGACTATTTAAATTTTTTTTTCTTGGCAAAAATTTTTTCAATTCAATTAATTTAAAAAGTTCTGTGTCATTGAAAATAAATAGATTTTTAAATATTCATATTTCAGCGTATTTAAAAAATGTGAACTATTACATGAAATCGTCCATATATTTTTTAAAATATTTTCTACAGGCTGAAAAAATACGTTTTCATTTTCACAAAATATAAATTCATATTTTACAATAAGTTACAAAAATTTTTTATTAAAAAATTTTTTATTTAATGAAATATTAATATTATGTACAATTGAAAAATGTAATGCAAATATTACATCCCACTTTTTTAAATGAAATACTTTTTAAAAGACTCGGATTTTTCTATCGACTGCGTCTGTTCGATTTTTTCTTAAGAATGAATTATAAATTTTTCAGGATTACATCCACGGCTTCGACAAAGGATTTACAAACTTTTGTCGGTGGTGGTGTTATAGTATTTTCATCACCAGGTCTATATTTACCTGTTTGTACTAAAATTCCTTTTATTCCCACAGATTGCGCTCCAGCAATATCATCTTTTACATCCTGCATTTATTAAAAGTCCATTTATTAATTTATTATTTATTTATATTTTTTGTGTCTTAAGTCTCATAATATCTAATATTAAACACTTTTTGAATATTAAGACAATTAAAGTCATCGCAGACAAATTTTAAAAAATTATAATACTTTACAGGAATGATTTTAAAAAATATCAAGATCACAAAATGAATTTAAAATCTAAAAACTTATAGTTATTCAGCCAGTAGAAAATATTTAAAAAAAAAAACAATTTATTACAAAAGTATGAAACAATTATTGAAATTTATTAATAATGATTAAATTTAATATTTTAAATTTTCATTTTCCTCCAAGAAAGTTATTAACATATAAAAATCGAGAAAATCAGCAAAGTGTCAATTTTCTTTGCAAAATTTTTTATGTTTATTAAGAAAAAAGAAAAGCTCGAAAAAATTCTGTTTTATATCTTTAAACATTTATCTAATAATAATAAAATTAATTATTAATAAATGTCAATAATTTCTTAACACTTTTATAGTGAATTGAATATTTCTTTTCAAATTTTTTCTACTGGCTGAACAACTAACAGTTTTCAGTACCTCATATACTTTAAATTCATATTTTCCAATAAAATTTTTTTTTAATTCACGATCTTGATAGTTTTGAAATTATTCTTGCAAAGTAAGTTTTACTTATAATTTTTTAAAATTTGTCTACAAGGACTTTAGTCGAAATATAATGGATTAAATCTCTAATAGTTATATTTTTGCATTAGGTGTAAATAATAATTTAATCATACATCGCCAATCATAATGGCTTCTTCCGGTAAAATATCTTGTAGTGCAGCTCTAAAAAATTCTGCAGTCGGTTTTCCTATTACTTCGGCTTTGATATTTGTAGCGTATTCTAAACCTTTTACAAATGCACCGGGTCCTAATGAAAGACCATCAGGTCTCTTGTAATAACGACCCTCATGAATGGCTATAAGAGACGCTCCATTCAAGATTAATCTAAAAAAAAAAAATTTAAGATGTTTGAACCCTATTTTACACATTTAAAATTTGCATAAAGAAAAAAAATTTTAATAATACTATTACAAATTTTTATAATATAATTTTTTTATATAATTTTAAATTTTAATAATAATTTCCACCTGAAAGCATTGTTCAAATCGTCGTAATTAAATTTCTCAGGTGCTAAACCAATTACAACGGAATCTTGTTTTTCTGATGATTTTATCAAATCATCAAAATCTTCCATCGCTGCTGAATCAATTAAGAGACATGGATTTAAAGAACGATTAATTATTATTTGTCTCGCCGCAGCTAATGAACTAAAAATTTCTTCCTTCTTTATGTCAAATCCAAGATTTTTTAATCGATTATACAAAACATTTTTTGACTCTTTTGTTGTGTTTGTGACGAACTTAATTTTCGTGTCTGTATTTCGAAGTCTGAGAATTTTTTTAAAAATATTTTTATTTAAAATTAAAAATGAAAAGAAATTTATTTTTCATAAATAAATAAAAAATTTTTATTATTTATTATAATAATTAATTCTGTTTTTTATAATTCATTAATTAGTAATGCGAATATAAAAAAACCTGAACTATTATTATTTACATTAAAAAATAAAAATTTTTTAAAAATAAACTTTTGTCAAATTAAGTATATAGAAAATAAAAAAAAGTAAAAGAAATTTAAAAATAAATTGTAAAAAATAGTAAAATATAGGAAATGTATTATAATTAATAAAAAATTAAAATTCATAACCTGCTCAATGCTTCTTGTGCTCCTGAAATTGCTAAATTGTCAATATGTAAAGTGCCACTAAGATCTATTAAAACAGCCTTTATTTGTCTATTCATTTTTATTAATCTAACAGACGAGTTATAAATGTAAATAAGGTATATTTTTTATAAGAATGTAACAAACACAAAGGGTATGTGAGAACCTCCCACGTGACCTAATATGGAAAAATGTGAATTGGTAGTTTCCTTATTACTATAAAATGAGAAAAGATTTTTTTTGTCTAAAATTTTTTTCTCTGAAAAATACATAATTTTGAGTTAAATTATTAAAAAATGAAGTTTAAAAAGTGACATTTTTAAACGAAAATAAAAACAAACATGGCGGAGCATACACAGACAGGGTTGCGCAGTTATGCGTAACTCGAGGTTTTTGACGTAATATACTTTATAATACGTAGAAAACTAGGTAAATTAAATGCCGACATCGCGACATCTTCCTTCCATATACATAACTGTTTTTGAAAATCATCTCGCTAATTCCAGACTCTCTTGTTCCGACATACTCCAAAATATTAAAGGGGAAGAAATATTCTTTTGTAATAATTTTGAAAATATGCCTCTTTTGTTTACATACAGACCTTACTAATCGATGAAAACTACATTTTCATTATTAAAAAAATAAAAAATTAATTTTCTTGACTATTTTAGAATTTTTTTTTTAAATCGAAAATTTTCAAAATTTATACATCCAATTTATAAAACTGGAATAGGTACTTAGGATTTGATTCATTTTTTTTTTTTGAAGTTTTTATTTTAAAAATATAAATAAAAAATCGTATTTTTTTAATTTGAAAAAAATTGTGATATTTATATCAGTTCTGTTCCTAATTTTTTCTTTTCTAAACAAATTCAAAATGAATTCAAAATAACAGAAGGCAAATTATTATATGATAGAATAAAAAATTTTAAATTTTTACACATGGTCTTCCAAGGTTTGCTTATAATATATAAAATAACATTTTCAAAAATATTTTTTTATGTATCAAAATAAATGATTCAAAAATAAATTCGTATATTTTACAGAACGAAGTGGCTAGTCGTCCGTCTAGACGGATACGAAATTACTGCTAGTCGTCCGTCTAGACGGATAAATATTTTTGTCCGTCTATTATACTGGCATTACTGTTAAAAGTATCAGACAGTATCCGGATGAAATAAATGGATTAAAATTTGTCCGTCTACTCTTAAGAAAATAATTATTAATAATAAGTCACGATCCAACTAACAAGGTCCTGCCACGCGCCTTTAAAAAACTCATCCAATTGGATTCAAAATAAAAAAAGAAATATTCATAAGAAACAGTTACTGCTAACCGTTAAAGGTAATTTTATTATAAAAAATCAAAACTATATACATTAAATTGAATATTTTACTAATTAAAATATTAAGGGGTTAGACCACTGTAAAGACCGAAAATCAGACCCATTTTTAAGATTTTTTTTCAAGAACAGAATTAAAAAATCAATTATATATTATTTTTAAGTACATATTAAAATTTAATTTTAATACATTAAAAAATTATTTTCATAAGGTAAAACAATTAAAATTGCGGCAAAGACAGTCGATCTACAAAAACCCTTTTTTATGCAGAAGTGTAAGGCCGGTAGAAAATCTTTTTCAGTTTTTGACTTAAAACAAAAAACCAAATTTTTTTCTTATTTTGTAATTCAAAATCTATAGAAGCTTTTAAAATTTTTTTTTTATATTTTTAAAAATTTTTTTTAGCTAGCCATTTTTGAGTTATGAAATTTTCAAAATTGCAGAATTTTCATGACTTTTAATTTTTGAATGCTCATAACTTCTTTAAAAATGCATCAATTTTAAAAGTTTTTTTTCAAAATGTATGTTTTTAAACGTACTTTAAAAAAAATGGAAATTTTTTTCAAATAATATTACTATTAAATTTTGAAGTTATAAAGATAAAAAGTCATTTTTCTTAATTGACGTAGTGATAGATTTTTTTCAAAAATTTTCAAAAAAATTACTTCCTTTTACGAAAATTTTAAGCCTAGTCTGATCGTGGACTAAGACTAGGTATTTTGATTCGCTGATTACGAAAATCTTAGTAGTATCCTTACCCGACAAAAGGTATAGATCTTATTAAAATACTTTTTTTATATCTTATGAATTTTTTTAAATTTTTTGTATATTTTACCCAATAAAGGAAAAAACCATAAACTTTAGGACATTTTTTATGGTTTTCACCATAAAAATCAAATTTTCGGGTATTGTCACTAAGATTTTCGTAATCAGCGCATCAAAATACATAAAAGTACGTAGTATAAAAACCAAAAATATTTTTAAAATATTCAAAAAATTTTGAAAAATTACGAAAATATTGTAAAAATTGTTTGCCCACGATCAGACTAGGCTTAAAATTTTCATAAAAGGAAGTAGTTTTTTTGAAAAAATCGATCAGTACGTCAATTAAGAAAAATGACTTTTCATCTTTATAACTTCAAAATTTAATGGTATGTAATATCATTTGAAAAAAAATTTCGATTTAAACTTTAAAGAGTTTGAATTTCGCGCTGAATGTTTATATGTATGTATATTTATATAAATATATACGGGTAGACGGACAGTTTTAACAAAAAATATTTCATCCGTCTACTGTGCCAGTAAATACTGGCACTAGACGGACAATTTAAATTCATCCGTCTAGACGGACTACTAGACGCAGCCTTTACAGAAACTATAAGAAAATATCTGATAGTAACAGTTCTTATGAGGAAAGCAACAGAAAAATATACATTTCATTTTTGCCATTTGGAGATGGTCCTAGAAATTGTATTGGTGAATATATCATTTTTATATAATAATTAAAATTATCTCATTCATTAATATTTTTTTTGAAAATTTTATTAAAAAATGACAAAATTTGGAAATACAGGTGCAAGATTTGCTGTTTATCAAACTAAAGTTGGATTGATGAAAATACTCAATAATTACAAGGTGGATGTCTGTGAGAAAACTTCTATTCCTTATGTTAACCATAAAAGTTCATTTCTTCTAAAGCCTAAGGATGGGATTTATCTCAAATTTCAAAAAATAACTTATTTTTTAACAGTTATGAAATTTTATATATAAAAAGATAATGTTATCCGTAATTCTCTATGTGCAATTAAATTTAATTTGTATGAATGTAACGATAATAAATTTAAAAAGTATAACTAATGTGATGTTGCACACTCAAATTATAAAACAAAGTGTATTCCTTCGTAAAAAATTTTGTTGGCCCTGAAAAGGGCCGATTGTTTTGTTGGAGAGATCAAGATTTACTTTGAGCTGGTGTACTTGGTGACAGCCTTGGTGCCTTCAGAGACGGCGTGCTTGGCGAGTTCACCAGGAAGGAGAAGCCTGACAGCGGTTTGGATTTCCCGGGAGGTGATGGTGGACCTCTTGTTGTAGTGGGCCAAGCGGGAAGATTCGGCAGCGATACGTTCAAAGATGTCGTTGACGAAGCTGTTCATGATGCTCATGGCCTTGCTGGAGACTCCAGTGTCGGGATGAACTTGTTTCAACACCTTGTAGATGTAGATGGCATAACTTTCCTTCCTCTTGCGCTTCTTTTTCTTGTCAGTCTTGGTGATATTTTTTTGAGCCTTGCCGGCTTTTTTCACAGCTTTGCCACTTGCTTTAGGAGGCATTTTCGATTTTCAGAGAGAGAAACAGTACGTCTGAACTCAACGAGAATACAGAGAGAAATGATGAAAAAATTTGAAAACCCGTCCTTTTACGTTCTTCCCCTGAACCATCCAAGCATGTGATTGGTGCGTGCACTCGGTGTAAATGCCCACCACTCATTGCACTGAGGGAGGGGGAACAGTGGTGGGGGACCCTAATGGAAGAACGTAAATAGGCGATTTTGCTGAAAATTTTGTATTATTCAACCAACCTTTGAGTTGTTCGTTTCGTTGTTACTAATCTAATTAAAAAAATGTCTGGACGTGGAAAAGGAGGCAAAGTCAAGGGAAAGTCAAAGACTCGTTCCAACAGAGCTGGACTTCAATTCCCAGTTGGTCGTATCCATCGTCTCTTGCGCAAGGGAAACTACGCTGAGCGAGTTGGTGCTGGAGCTCCAGTGTACCTCGCAGCTGTCATGGAATACTTGGCTGCTGAAGTTTTGGAGTTGGCAGGAAATGCCGCTCGCGACAACAAGAAAACCAGAATCATCCCCCGTCATCTCCAACTTGCCATCAGGAATGACGAGGAATTAAACAAACTTCTTTCTGGAGTCACCATCGCTCAGGGTGGTGTTCTTCCCAACATCCAGGCTGTGCTTTTGCCTAAGAAGACCGAAAAGAAAGCTTAATTTTCTACCCACATCCTCTAAAACAATCGGCCCTTTTCAGGGCCAACAAGTCTTTTTTACGTGTGAATCTTGAGTTCTTTACATTCTGATCGTATTTATACTTAATCTTTTTTTAACGTTAAATAGTAAAATTTTATACATAAGTCAAAGTTCGAAAATTCGAATTACTTTTTCGCCTTGTCTACTTAGCCCGATACCGAGAGGAATAATTATTTATCATTTCTCAAAATATGTACCTAAGCATTTACAAAATCAGGGTGTCTAACGGTCAGGGAATTTCAGAAAATTCGGTTCAAATCAGAAAAATTTATGTAATTTCTACAAAAATAAAAATTGTTTATTCTAAAAAAACATGATTTTTATTACCATTTGTTACTACCATTAGTAATTAATTTATTGTTAAATATGTCAGTAACCATATTTTTGTCCAAAGAAAGCAGAAATAAGGTTATTAAAAAGTCAGGAAATTTTTTTCTCATTCTTTTTTAGACACCCTGCAAATAATAGTATATTATGTGGCAAGCACGTAAAGTAGTACTTTTTAGGTGAGGATGTAATTTTCAGTACGAGCTGTCGTTAGTGCGACGTAGGTGAGACGAAGGCGAGCTGTAGGTGAGATGAAGACGAGCCGAAGGCGAGTCGAGTCGAGCCGAAAGCGAGCCGAGTCGAACCGAAGTCGCACAGACAGCGAGTATTGAAATCATCCGAACCTAAAAATTACTACGTGCGAGCCACATACGCTATTTTTTTCGCCATTGTTATGAAAAAGTGAAACAATTTTAAAGAAAAAAAATAATAAAAATTGATAAATAAAATAAAAGCAAAAAAAAAAATTATGCAAAAATTAACAACTGCCTAAAAAAGACTTTATAGGGCAGTTTACTGCCTAAAAAAGACTTTATACGGCAGTTTGCTGCCTAAAAAAGTCTTTTTTAGGCAGTTGGCCCAAACTGCCTTAAAAAGTGCTACTTTATCTGCCCAAAACAGGCACAAAAAAGACACTTTTTCATGTCAATGGCGAAAAAAAAA